TTACGTTTACACGGACGCTCATCCCATTATACAGCTGTTCCCCGTTCAAAACTTTCCGGTATAAATATAGCGCTCAGGGGATTCATAAACCCCAAATTAAATACCAAAACCATCTCTGTCCTCCCAAAATGGCGTGTATTTACCGTTTTGCCATTCTTCTCGTTCTCCTCTCAGCCACCGTCGGCTTCTCCGCCGCCGCGTTGGTCGAGCAGGAGCCTCTGGTGCTCAAGTACCACAACGGCATTCTCTTGAAAGGAAACATCACTCTCAATCTCATTTGGTACGGAAAATTCACACCAATCCAACGATCCATCATCGTCGATTTCATCCGCTCTCTTAACTCCGCCGCTGTCGGAAAAGGTCCCTCCGTTGCGTCGTGGTGGAAGACGACGGAGAAGTACAAAGGCGGCGCGTCAACGATCGTCGTCGGTAAACAGCTCCTCCTCGAGAACTACCCTCTCGGAAAATCCCTTAAAAGCCCTTACCTCCGAGCTCTGTCAAACAAACTTAACGGCGACGGCGTTCGGTCAATAACCGTAGTATTAACGGCAAAAGACGTCGCCGTCGAGGGACTCTGTATGAATCGGTGCGGGACTCACGGCGCGAAGGCCCGTTCCATTAACAGTGGAGCTTACGTCTGGGTCGGAAACTCGGAAACGCAGTGTCCTGGTTACTGCGCGTGGCCGTTCCATCAACCGATTTACGGACCTCAGTCTCCGCCGCTAGTCGCGCCTAACGGTGACGTCGGAGTTGACGGAATGATTATAAACCTGGCGACGCTTCTGGTTAACACCGTAACGAATCCGTTTAAAAGCGGTTACTTCAATGGGCCTCAAGAAGCCGTCTCGGCCTGCACAGGGATATTCGGGTCGGGTGCTTACCCGGGTTACGCGGGAAGGGTTCTCGTGGACAAGACTACCGGAGCGAGTTACAACGCCTTGGGTCTCGCCGGTAGGAAATATCTTTTACCCGCCATGTGGGACCCGCAAACTTCGGCGTGTAAGCCTTTGGTTTGAAATGGACGGTCATGGACGGGACACGTGGTAAGAATCAATGGTGGTGGCGAGCTAAAAAAAAGCTTATTGGAGTCGATGAAAGTTGTAGATATCTTCTATCGGGCGCCTGGTTCGGGGTTTGGGAAAAGGATGTGTTTCTTTTGTCGTTTTCGTGTGACGTGTAAATTCGATCGTGGAAATATGTGAAGGATAAATTCTTATATCTATTTATTATATGCGGATAATAAAATCGATTTGTAGTTTCCCTTAAATAAAATCTCACTTACTATTAACTTGTGACGACAAAAAAAGAAAACTCTTAAAACTTGTTTTAACCAAAGGAATCAAACTTGTTCTTAATCCCAATTAACTATGTGCTGCGTTGAAACTCGATACGGTTAGAAATAGAATAAAGGAGTCAGCTCTTTGGTTAATGCCTTAATGGTTTATGTTGGGACATGGGGGGGGAATAAGAGAACATATCACTTTTTCACTTTTCTAAAACGCTTTACCTATATTGCTTCGTAAACAAATCGTATTTATTGTGAGATGAGAATTAATCATTTTGTCTATATTATCTACATTCCTCCCAATCTCACCTTTTTGGGTAATTTGAATTAAATTATCTCAGAAATTCTTAAATATGATCAGTGGGTAGGTGTCTAGTGCTTCGAGCATGCTCAATCGAATCGATAATTTTCTAATGTTTAAGCTTAAGCAGTAAGCTCTGCTTTTAATAACAGCTTGTTGATAAAGAACCCCATGCTTTGAGAGCTGGTAACGGTACTGTACTCCAAGTTTAAAACTTCGTTTACATCAATCAGTTTCTGTATGTATACCATGTTTTACACCCTTCAATTCAAATGCTTCCCAACTTCTAGCCCATCTATTTTATAAAAATGTTGTAATGCGTTCACATTAGGTACCAACTAGTACCAAAAAAGTCAAATGATTTAGCGGGCATAATTTATTAGGGTCCTTTGAAATGGTAGACAATATTCATGTATGAGACAAATCATATGATCCAAATAAAACTCAGGACAAATCTTTGATTATCCATATGACAATAGAATGCAACCATATGATCGTGTTTATAGGAATCGTCACCAGTCCACACATCCGCCTGCTAAGTTGTTAAAAGAACAAATAACGCTACATTCTCTCCGTAATTTGAAAGTAAAACATTTTTGCGTTGTCCTGAGTTCGGATCCCTCTCCCCCCCCCAAGTTTTTTTTTTTTTGGTAATCGTATGGGAGGCAGAACCCCCACCCTCCTCCCCTTTTATTAAAAGTAATGCATACAAGAAAGATTTAAACAGGGATTTGTCTTGGGTACACAGACAATTTGGAATAACTTCTATATATTAATATTTTGATAATAATTTTCTTTAGTCCCAAATTTAGCGTTTAATCCGATTAATTGTTATAAATTAGTATCTCTCAATATTAGAGATAAAACAATTTTATTTCTTCATCGACACTAAACAATATAATCTCACTCTCACTCAAGTTATTATTATACCAAGACCGTATTAGTATATTTTAAAAATCTGAATATTTGAAATGCTAAGAAAAAAAGAGCTTAAAAGCAAAAACCAAAAAACCAAAAAAATCTTTATTATAAAAGAAAAGAAAGCAATTAAACATATATTTATTACTGTTTTTGTTAAAATTGTCAAAATAAAAATTATAAAATTATAAAAACCATAAAATCACAAATTTCCGCCAAAACTGAAAAATTGTGTTTTCACCAAAATCGTGGAAAATGAAGTTTTTTTATTTTGATGAAAAAATGAATTTTCTTGGTTTTTGATGAAAAAATAATTTTTTTTTGGTTTGACGGAAAAATGCAATTTCTTAGTTTTGTCGAAAAAAATGAAAATTTGAATTTGATGGAAAAATAAAATTTCCCAGATGTGCCAGGAAAATAAATTTTTTCGGGTTTGGCGGAAAAATGAGATTTCTTAGTTTTAGCGAGAAACACAATTTCTTGGTTTTAGCGAGAAAATGATATTTCTTTGGTTTTGTTGGGAATTTTTTTTTTTGAAAAGAAAATAAATTTTCTAAAGTTTTGGCACGAAAATGCAATTTCTCGGTTTTGATAGAAAAATACATTTTTTCGATTTTGACTGAAAAAATATAATTTTTTAATTTTGGTGGGAAAATGCAGTTTCTCGGTTTTATCGGAAAAATGCGGTTTTTCAGTTTTGGCGAGAAAATGCAATTTTTTGGTTTTGAGTGAAAACCACAATTTCTCGATATTACCGGAAAACATGATATTACCAATTTGGGAGATAAATTTTATTTTTCAAGTTTTGCTAGAAAAGTATAATTTGTGGTTTTGTCAAAAAACTTGATTTTATGATTTTATTGGGTTTTGTGAAAAAAAATGTGATTTGATAGGTTTTTTAACTTATTTGTTTTTTTAAATTTAAGAATATTTTAGTTAATTATTATTTTGCATTGAATCATATCCATTGAAATGGTCCAATTTGGTTCATCGAGATGATTCTCATAAATTTGTTTAAGTTCTGTAAAATCATCCAATGATTCATCTAAATATTTTTCGATTTTGTTACAATCATCCAAATAGTTCAATCAAATGAACTATCTAGATGAAAAAACAAACATGGACTTAATCCTAGAGTTTAACATGTTTTTCTTTTCTAAAACACAGAAGATCGATTTATGCGTTAACATTATCACTATTTACTCATAAAAAGTAACTAATAAAGATGAAGTTAGTATAATTAAAAAAACGAGAGAGAAATAGGGATAGAATCTATTCACAACATTGCATTGAAAATTTGATTTTGAATTCGAATTTGTTAAATTAATGTTAGATTATTGCATGAAAAATTTGAATTCGAATATACCAAAAAACAAAAAATTGTAAAAAATACAACTTAGAAAAAAATCAATAAAAATATCATAAGATAAGTACAAAATCTTAAAAAATGATGATACATTTCGTTTTCTTCTAGTGATATATTTGTGGAAAAAACCTTTAACCTGAAACATTACAAAAAATAACAATATATTACAAGAATGAGTTAGATTCAACTTTCATTTAGTGTTAATATTATTATTATTACCATTTTAGCTTCTAATAAAAAATCGATTGATCTATAGTAGTTGTAGAAATAAATTGAACAGAATTCAAATGGTTAAAACTTCTTTATGATTGTACTTTGTAAGGTTGGGCAGTTGTGATTGATTTGGAATAAATATTTCTATTAAAAAAAATATTTCATAGCACAGAAAAAAGTATTCTCAACCAATATTGATCAAAACATCGAGTTTCTTCGTTTAGTACAAATTAAATTACACACGAATCATTTAGGTATCTCGCTTCCGTCACTGACCTCTTAATTAACAACCCAAATATTCAACACCTTAAACCGAGACTACCCAACTCTTTTTCTCCATAGAAAAGTAAAATTAAGAAAATACCAAACTTTGAACAAAAAGAAAAAGAAAATACCAAACCAAAGATACACCAATAATTAATACCAATAAATCAAGAAGAAAATAAGACTATACATAGAGAAGAAAAAGATAAAATCTGGAAGAAAATAAGAATATTTGTGTGATTTGTATAAAATAGAAAACATCAGATTCTTTAAATAAATCGACCGTTATAGAAGAAAATAAAGCTCTTTTTTAACAACGGCCATATACACAAATCACGCGTCTTCTTTACTGCCACGCGTACGTACAGATTTTAACGAGCCGTTATCGCCGAATCCAACCGTGTTTCTTTTTTTTCTTCTCATTCTCATGAGCCTGTCCCCTCACTTCACAACCGTCCGATTTTACTCGTTTCTTAATCAACGATATAGCTTTAACGCGCTCATATACAATGGGTCCCACTTTTCACTTATATATAGAGCTGTTACCGTAGTCTTTCTCTCCAACAGATTACAGATCAATTTTACTCGAGAGCAAACCCAGTCGCCAACTATTTCGAAATTTCTCTTTCACTCTCAGTCAATTCTCACTTGAGATGTCGATCTCCAAAATCGTAGGTTTTCTGGTTTTCGCCTGTCTCCTGATCTCTTCCTCTGTAGCTCAGTCTCCTGCTCCAGCTCCCTTCAGCGGCGGAGGAAGGCGGATTATATCTCCGGCGATCTCTCCTTCTCCGTCTAAAACCCCGACTCCTAAATCCTCCGTCACTTCTCCTCCTTCATCGTCTCAAGCAGATTCTCCTTCCATCGATACTTCAGCAGCAGCTCCGTCTTCCATCTCCGATTCGCCATCAGAAGCTCCTGGTCCAGCACAGAGCAACGCCGTGGCTAACAGATACACGGTTTTTGGTGGATCCGTCGCCGCTATGCTATGCGCTGCGTTTTGGGCTATGTGATATCCATCGACGGAAAGAAAAAAAAAATGCTTCATCAATGGAATCAGCATTATTTTTTTATTCATAGTAATTTTCAGATACAGTTGAACTAGTATGTGTATGTAGGTGATTCTTTATTTGTTTCTTCCGGTTTCTCTCTTTTTTAGCTCTTGTGGATTAGTATTAAATTTGGATGTTCAGAGTCTCACTTGATGTACCCTTATCAATATATCATTAAATTTTCAAATTTTGTTGCCAAACCCAAAATAAGCTAGATAATTATTTAATTTGAGGATTTCTTAAGTCAATAAGAAAACAAGTGCAGAAACATCTAATCTCTTCGAATTGTCACATCGCCGGAAGCGCCGGTGGCTTCTCCGTCACGGAGTCGCGGCTGTTCTAGCCGTCGTATTAGCCTTTATTTCTCTTGTAGCAATTGGGCCGACTTTTATGGGCCCATTAACTATTAAGCTTTTACCATTTGACACAAAACAAAAAAAACGTAATTTTTGGAACTAAGTGATCGCTTAAGATCCTTCTGGTCACACGAACTGAGAATCAATGGCGACTCGCTCGCTCTTCCATAGTCTTAGATGGTGAATCTCCACCACATCTTCTCTCTTTATTTCCTACTGATTTCATTTTTTTTTGTTTCCCGATAAAATCGATTCACGGTCTGTTTTGATATTCTCTTCCTTCTGAATTTAGTCGATTGACGAATGTTGCCGTCGGAAGCAATTTCACTCGGAACGCCGAATCTACGCGATTCTCGAAGTCCTACAGTGCGGATACCGCAATCGGAGGCTCGTATGACGAGGAATCGGAAGAGAAAGACGATCTGAGGAGCCGGATTTTCAGATTGAGACTCCCGAAGCGGAGCGCAACGACTGTTCTCGAGAAATGGGTTGGCGAAGGGAATCAGCTTACAGTCACTGAACTTCGAGAGATCTCCAGAGAGCTTAGGCGAACTCGGCGTTACAAGCACGCTCTCGAGGTACGCCGATCGATAAATTTCTCATTCCTGATGTGTTTTTAGTAGATGTCATTGGAATTAGTGCCTCCAAGTTTCTAGGTCGCTCACTGTGTCCTTGGCGTGAAATTTCTGTGAATCTGCATTGATAAGAGGATAGTAAACGAGAAAGATTGTTGTTTGTCTCCTACAATATCGATTAAAACGAACAAGTCAAACTCTTTACTAGATGATGCCAGTTTCGTGAACTTCCAATGCTCTATCTTACGTATGGTTTGACTTGATAAGCTCACAAAGCTTCTTTAATCAGGCAAATTCTTCAAATTTATGATTATGATGTGTGTTTATGCACAAAATATCACTGCTCTGCATCATTATATGGAACTTGATTCAAGCCTTATTACAGGTTACAGAGTGGATGGTTCAGCATGAAGAATCTAACATCTCAGATGCTGACTACGCGTCACGCATAGATTTGATTTCAAAAGTTTTCGGTATCGACGCAGCTGAACGCTACTTTGAAGGTCTGCATCTAGCTTCAAAGACAACTGAGACATATACTTCTCTCCTTCATGCTTATGCTGGCTCCAAACAAACCGAGCGAGCCGAGGCCCTGTTCAGGAGAATCATAGAGGCTGAGAGTCTCACATTCGGTGCCATCACGTACAACGAGATGATGACTTTATACATGTCTGTCGGGCAAGTTGAGAAAGTACCCGAGGTTATCCAAGTGCTTAAGCGCAAAAAGGTCTCCCCGGACATTTTTACTTACAACCTGTGGCTAAGTTCATGTGCTGCAACCTTTGACATAGATGAGCTCAGAAAGATTCTGGAAGAGATGAGGCATGATGCTAATTCCAAAGAGGGTTGGGCTCGGTATATCGATCTTACGAGTATCTACATAAACAGTAGTAGACTAAGTAGTGCGGAGTCCAGCTCACCGGTTGAAGCTGAGAAGTCTATTTCACAAAGAGAATGGGTCACGTATGACTTCCTTGTGATTCTGCACACTGGATTAGGAAACAAGGATATGATAGATCAGATTTGGAAGTCTCTGAGGAACACTAACCAGAAACTGAGCAGCAGAAGCTACATTTGTGTGCTTTCATCTTATGTAATGCTTGGCCATTTGAGAGAAGCCGGGGAAGTTATAGAGCAGTGGAAGGAGTCTAAAACGACAGAGTTCGACGCTTCTGCTTGCTCGAGGATCTTGAATGCTTTTAGAGATGTCGGGTTAGAGGAAAAAGCCAGTGAATTTCAATTGCTCTTGGTTCAGAAGAAATGCAGCGTGGAAAACGAGGTATCATAAGATTGGGTCTCTGAGACAAATAAGCTGTGAAATTCTGATGCTATTGGCAAGAATCAGATCAAGCTCATCAATAAAAAAATAGAGGTTTTATTACTCTTCACTGTAATTTTTTGTTATTTTGTTATTTTTGTTCCTTACGTCGGAGGCAGTGAGACTTACGATTTTCTCATTTGAAGATTTTGCTTACGATCTTTTTACTCGAACGAATCATTTATCGCTGCGATTAATATCCATGGGCCTTTGACCAGGTCCATTAGATTTCATATAAAGTTCTAACCTCTAAAGTTCAAAACTATTGAAGTTTATTACATGAACATGACTGGTAAGGAAAAAACATCTGTTGGACCCACGAGGGAAACAACAGAAGCAAATGATATTATAGTATATATAGATAGGGGTAAGAGTCGACGATTTAAAAAAGGAACAGAAAAAGAGAAAAGATATGGGATTGATAGCAACAGAAGAGTAATAATGAGACAAACGAAGAGTGGGGACAGAGACTTGACCTAATATGAGAGTGGAGGTATTCACAGAACATGCGAGATTTTTCAATTCCACACAAAACTACTCCAAGAAAATTTCATTTTTGACTTTTTGATTTTTCTCCATCCACAACCACCAGCCACCACAATGGCAGCGATATTATTATTACTCGGGAGGAAAACAAAAAAAAAGAAAGATAATTATGAACGATCAATGAGCACCACCAAGACTTTGCTTTTTCTTCTTTCACTTTTCTTAGACGAAAGTGACTCTTTTTTTTCTTTCTGAGAGCATGCCAAATCCAAAAGTAGATCACTGTTGATCCAGCTAAGCAGAACAAGGGTTACGGTCCCACTAGGTCACCAGGCGTGTCCTAATTGTTTCAAACGCACGTTAATGAAATTTTGAGAGAATCTTCTTTCAGTCCTTTAGCCTCATTGATTATCTTTTGTCCCTTGTCTTCTCTTTAACCAACCAAACATGCCTATCAATGAAGGTAAAAGGGTTTTTCGTTTTTCACCAATCATCTGATGAGTTTAAGTTTTGCTTCAGCAACTTGAGGTAATCAATGGCTTCGTCTAGTAGGGAAAGGGCTTCTTTTCCCTTTGCTCCTGGAACTACGCTCTCGAGGATTCTCAGAGCGATGTAGATCTTGTCTTTTCTTGACTGCTCTTCGCTCAGACCTGACCCCGTTTCTTGTTTGCTTGAGATGTTTGATTCAGGAAGTTTTTCATCTGATAAGCCTTTGAGTTCAGTGAAACTCTTGGTGCCCACAATGTATGAATGGTCCAGTAGTTTCTGCCTTTTACGAAGTGAACCATCATCATCCTCTTCTCCTGTCGTCTTGTCGCACGCTTGTTGATCAACTAGGAAAGGAGAGTGACCAGTGCTCATCACTTCATCATCACTCTCGCAATCATCATTGTCTTCATCATCAGAATACAGCAGCGCGTCGATTTCCTCAGTGTCTTCGTGCATTTCTGACTCTTCTCCGCCATTACAACACTTCTCAGCATGATCTTCATGGAGCAATATCTTTTCTGGAATGGCACGGTCTTTACTTAACCCGTTCTCTGGGTTTAGGGAACCGAGAATTTTCCCTGGCTCTGCAGCCACAGAAGAAGGAAACCGCAGTGGAAACTGTAACAGTCGAGTCTGGTTCCCTGACTGGTCGAAGATTAGAAATCTTTTCTGAGAAGACTTGAGTGGCCCCTCTGGAGCAGCATTGTAGCTAGACCGGCCGTTCAAACATGAAGCTTGTTTTCCACAAGACTGCTGATCATAACCGGACAGTAAGGCCTGGACCGGTGGCTGCAAATAGCGAAACTGATGCTCAGCTGCATATACTTTACCGAGTTCCTGGAAAGGAATTCCAGGTCGGGAAGACACAGTAGCTGTGTCCTGGACACAAGCTTGAGTATTTAAGCCCAATGGCACCCATTTCTGTTGCCTGGTATCAAGAGGCATGCTCTTGCAGTTTAAGCAAAAGGGAACTTTACTGCAGGTAGAAAAAGCAAAGAAAGGGATGAATTCTTTTACTACATGGCTACGAATGAGATAACTACTAAACTCAACTCAAGAAAGCCATAATCCACAAACAGAACCAACATAATGTAAAAGTGAAAGCATACCGATTGGGGAAGCTGTTGTTACTTCTTGGTTCCTTGTTGAAACAATCGTAAAAGAAAGTAGAGACGAAACGAAAGAAAAAAAGATGGCCAGCTAGAAGATACAATACAAAACACACAAACCAACTACGTCACTGGTTTGAGTATATGTCTAAAGTATTCAGCCTGAAAGTGGAAGACAAACAATAGTGTTAGATAAAAAAAATAAGACTTTGAACTAAAGTGTGACAAGAGAGCATAGATTTCATTTTTTTCTGCAACAAACCTGACAATTATCCATCGGTTGAAAGCAAGCAATAACTCTCACTACAATAGTCGGTTTATTAGAGTCTCCGTTGTTCTCGTACTTCAATGTTCGAAATCTTGTTTGACCAGCTGATTGGCTTACCATAACTTTTCCAAACACTTGAGTGAAAAACAACAGATGCTCCACAGAACAGAGCAAGCTACCAGGGAAAGAGATGACTTGAAGGAGAAAGTGTTGATGGTGAGAAGAAAGAAAGAGAAAGAAGACAAGGGAGCTAAAGATAAAGACTTGAAAAGGCTTTCAGTGTTTAAAAGGAATCGTTTAGCTGATTCTATATTGTTCACAGTGGAAAACGTAGAAACGTTGGGATCCCATTATCAAAGAGATTATATAAACAGAAGAAAAGCGCTGAAGAATGAGGAGAAAAAGAAGAAGAAGATTGGAGATGAGTCTTCAAGGTAGAGAAGAAAATTTACAGAATGACACGGCAATACAGATTCAAGCGCACAACTTTGCGGTATATGTCGACAGAGCTTGTGAACCAAAACATGCTGTTTTTCTCCTTCTATGCACTTTTAGATTTTGATCATCCACTGTTTTGTAATCCAGAGAGAGAGATCCTGTTAAGAAAGAAGGGAAAACAAAAAGAGAGTGAATCATCTCATCAAAATCCAGAAATGGTAAACCAAAGAACCAGATATCACAGCAATTGAAGGATAGATAAATCATAGAGAGCCGAAGAAGATTATCATGTTGCAACATTGAACAAGTACAATTTTATCAAATACTCCCTAGATTTAGACTTGAATTCGCTTAAAAGCTCCAATCTTCTAATCCAAACCAGTCTAACAAAATATTCAAGCTCGTTTCGCATCAAATTCGCCGGTAAATTCCTAAAATTCCCCCCAAAAAATTTCCGAGAAAAAAACAGAGAGCACAGCGAGAAACAATAAGAAGGAAGACCAGATGATTGAATCTAATAGCTTACAGAGAGGACGAAGAGGAAGAGATAGTTTCCAGATCCAGAGAGAGCCAAGAGACTTGTGAGACGAATTCACGCAAAGCTTAAGGGGATAAGGGGAGAAGAAAAAACGAAATTTTAAGAAAATATTTCTAAGTGGGCGTGAAGACTGAAGTGTGAAAATTGCTTTATACTTTATAGAGGCCATTATTCCTTGTGACGTTTTTACCCTTTTCAAACACTTTATTTACAGTCAATAATGGAATGTACTAGCAAAAAAATAGAATGGTTAATTCGTGTTTTGATTCTACAGCTTTTGTCTTTACGTTCGTTTTTAGTTCGAGTTCATACTTCACTCACTTTCTATTTTCTATCGTATTCGTATGTCTTCACCAAACATAATTGAAAAAGGATTGTGATCAAAAGTGCGTTTGGATCATTTTGCCTTAATTTAGAATGATCCACATATATCTAAATCAGTTAAACGGAAAGAATGGAAAAAAAAAAAACAAAAATCATCCAATTCAGAGTTGAAACTTGAAAGTGTTTATCTGGATCATGTCAATTTAGATATATGCTTTTAGAATTCTACAATTATGTGAAAATGACGATTTCACCTTTGGAGTGCGATGCTTTCTCAACTCTCGTAGATAAGTTTTGGTTATAAAGGAGCTTTTCTCCCGTTTTCATATTTCTTATACATTCCTCATTTTTAAAATTGGTATTAACGATTAGTTACTTCGTATTACTAGCTAGTAATGGAGATTGTAATTTCTCTTCTGTAGACCTTTCGATTTAAGTTTGGCTTGACACTTATCTTTTTCATTTATATAAAAATCATGTTGACAAAAAAAAAGAAAAGACAATGGTTCTATTCAAAATTAGTCTAACTTTATTTGTTTAATTGATTGGACAAATTGTGAATTGATTGATAGATAAGAATATGAATATTGCTGTTATGATTAAGACGGAGACAATGGAACGAAGGGAGCGAACGTGTATAAACGTAATTATGGTGTATATAATGGCAAACTCTCACGATCCATAATTCAAGTCATAACTTATAATTGAGTAATATTGTGCAGACGTAATATTTTCTTTGTTGCTCGTTAAAGCAAGCCCGTATGTTTCGACTACTTTCCACATTTTCTTTTTGTTATTGTTGAGAACGTTTATTACTCTTTTAGCCAAATAGTGGAAGTGAGTTTTAACCTTTATTTGGTGGTTTCTTTAATTATTGTTTTTGAATTATTCTAACTTTTCTTTTTCTTTTTCTTTAGGTGCGTGGGTGCTGCTGGGTGGGATGTTTTGGAACATTTTAGATGATGGTAGGATAAAAATCAGACTGCATAGTTAATTTTTACTTATTTTTACTAGTTTAGTAGCTAGCTGATAAAACACCAATTTAGAACACTCGTTTTCTTCCAGATAGTTTTAAAGCTATAGTACATGATATTTTAACAAGTGGTTAGAATTTGAGGAGCATCTACCATATTCCATGATCGTAGGAGAAAAAAATATAAAGATATCAAATTAGGGAAAAAGGGAGAAAAAGAAAAGAAAAAGGGATGCAAGTGAATGATTAAAGAAATGCACGGGGGAATTAAGTGCTTAATTGCCTTGACGACTACTTTTGCCAATCCTATTTTTTATTTTCATTTTTTGCTTTTAGGAGTTTTCTTTCTAAAATTAATTTCTTGTTGCCTCTCCTCCTCTTTGTTTCTTTTGATTTGATATGAGAATAGTAGTTACCGTGTGAGACCAGAGGACCCATATGATTACTAATTACAAATGATTTGAAAGTATGATTTTAAAGTTCTTAAAATTTTAGGAAGCAATTATGTGTTCTGTTGAGAAATTAAGGAAGTGTCACTTTATTGTTAGGTTTTGCTAAGATGGGGTGTCCATATGAAGTTGGGCCTATTATCTAACTTGGACTTATAATAATGGGCCATATTTCTATGCTTTCAGTTAAGATGTGGGAAAGCACAAATTATTTCTCTTTTACAAAATGGTTTTGACTTTTGAGAAACATATTTTTCTTTTTAGAGTAACAAGTAACAACTATATGACTTGTAGTTTCAAATTATTTTAAATGTCTAATTAAATTTAGAGTTGATATTTTATGACAACCACAAAACGATATGATGCCAAACAAAAAGTACCAAAAATAAAGAAGAAGAAGGAATATACCAAACGAAGGTACCCAGCAAAAGCATATCCCCGAGAGACTGGACTGACCGACAAAGCCTTTTTTGCGGCTATCGCATTTTAAGCTAAAATTAACGATTTAAGTTATATAGACTTAAAGAAAAAATGACTAGCCGTCAAAAAAAAATGGGCTACTTGCGCAATCATAAGTACATAAGTAAATTTTTTAAAAAAATACTTGAAATGTATATACAGAGCATAATGGAATATGGTCAAAAATTAGGACTCATCCATATATTTTTAACTACTTTTAAAAACATTTAGTCAAAATTTAACGTTGTTTAACAAACCACGAATTTGTTCTAACGTAACGAACAAGATCATAGTGAACGGTCCTTGCCTCGTCACCGTCGGAACAAACCCTTTGTACAAAGCCATCGGTCCTTCCTCCGCCACCGTCTTCACCACACAATCCAATGGTCCACCGTAGCTATCAGCATCCGCATTCATCATCCTCGTCTTCACGACATCTATCGGATTCGACGCCACCGCCGCCACAATCCCGGCCGCGAAACTCGCCGCCGCGTGTGTTCCTATCCCTCCCGGCGTCCCACGGCCTCCGGCGACCATGATTTCCTTGACATGATCATACGTGGCGAGCTGAGACGCTGTCACGATCATTGCTCGGTTCACGGTAAGCCACGAGCCACGCCATAAGCTTGAGACGCCTTCGTCTTTCACGATTCGCTCGATCGCGTCCACGACGCCGTTGTAGTTTCTGCGACGGTTGAACGGCAGACGTCCGTCGGCTTGCATTCTCACCATCGCCACGTCAGCAGGATTCCCGACGGCGGATCCGACGGCTCCTGCGATGAGTCCAGCTGCGATCTTGGTGACCAACGGGAAATTACCTGTTCCAAAATGTTTGATTAAATGAATTCGTTTATGTTTAATCGATATGGATTCATTTGTGCTCTTTATATTTAAGAGTGAGCCAAAAAAATAATCACACACACACACACAATGATCCTGGAAATATTTTGTCGATCCTTATTAAATAACAAATTAATAATGTAATTTATTATCATTACCGGTGAGTCGATCCGTCCACTTCCGTTTAAGAAAGTCGTAAATACCCATACGGGTGGCAGAGTAAAGCATCTGACGGAGGACGGTGGCAGAGACGCCGGAGAAGAGAGCGGCGGGTCCTTCGGTTTTCACAATGTGGGCCCCAACAGCTAAAGGAGTCGTGCCGGAGCGCGTGGAGGAAGAAGGCGCGTGAGTGGATGAAGGTAACAAGGAAATGCTGCCAATGAGAGAGTCAAGAGCGAAAACGGGTCGGTGAGGTTTAACGGGAAGATTAAGATTAGGGTTAGGGTTTTGGTCGAGAGGGAAAGCGTGTTCGCCTTCGAGCTGCATGCGGACTTTGATGAGGTCTAATGGATGAGTCAGAGCTCCGGCGATGATTGCGGCGATGCCACCTTCAAGAAACGGTTTGAATCCCATTGATTACCGGAGGGTTTGATTAGAGATTGTTTTGATTAATGAGTATATAAAAAAAAAAAACAGAGAAAGAGTTTGAGAAATTGGATCTTTTGTAAGAAAATGTTTGGAGAGGAGAAAATGAAATTGGACAAGTTGAAAATAGAAGAAGACAAGAGACATGGGAAACAAAGAAAATAATGCAACGAGCTGTGTTTGTGTAATAGTCCTGCATTACGGGTTCCAGCTTTAGCACAAGGTTTCCTGTCTTGTCTTGATGCTCACCTTGTCATTATACTCATTACTCATTAGAGAAAGAATAATTATAGAAGCCAGAGGAATAAACCAATATTGGTCAATAATATGGTGTAGAATGTAGAAAAAGATAAGATGACGAGTAATTAACAAGTTACACCTACAATTAATTATTTTACATAGAATTACTGAGTTAACTATAATTTTTGTACCACATAGAGACAGACAAGTTACAAGAGAGAATCATCAGTACATGGCTAAATCCAAACATGACATGTTCTAGTTAGTACATAAATGTACTAGAACGCCTTAAATAATACACAAATCAAACTATTAATACATATGCATGGAGAGCATTTACTATATAAATGTCCTTTTAACGTTTACCTTCAGCCATTGATCCTATGGCTTCTTATTCGAACCACTCGAAATTTCCTCAGAAACAATTGTACTTTTCGCAGGAACCTCTACAACCGTTGCCGTAGGTTTTTTCGTTTCAGTCTTTGGAAAACCGCCGTTAACACCGGGAAAAGGAAAGCTCGGAATCCACGACGGAAATCCAAAGCTTGACTCTTCTTGCTCCTTTGGTGGCTCCTCTGGCTCCTCAGGCTCCTCAGGAATCTCAGGAACCTCAGGCTCTTCTGGTATCTCCGGCTCCTCGGGCAATGGCAACTCCGGCTCTTCTGGAATCTCCGGCTCCTCGATCTTTTTATATTGTGGAGTCTTTGTGACCTCTTCTTGCACCAGAGAGTGACCTACTCTAGCAGCAAAACTAGGCGTAGCAAACAATAAGGACGACGAAATAAAGATAAGGAAAAAGATCGAAGAGAAGAGAAGAAGAAGGCGAGGATTAATCATCTTTTGTGATATGATCTTCTTTCTTGAACGAATACCAACTTAGAAAGAAGAGAAAAGTAATGTTGTTGATTGCAATACAGTGGTTGTGTTTTGGTATTGTGTAAAGAGTGGGTTCTTAAATAATGTTGAGATGAGTGAGGTCTAAAAATGTAGATTTCATAAGAGTCAAAATATTTGGTGAGAAGAACTCTAAGCACGATTGTGAATATGATGTTAGTCTTCAACAAACTCACCTATATATATCATATTTTACTTGTTATGTGTATAACCCCTTTAAGTTTAGTTGCGAACTTAATCTTTGCGTGTTATAAGTTATTAACATTAGACATGAGTACATGACAAGAAAGCTTATATAATGGATAAATCAACCTAACCTACCTAGTCAAAACAAGAAAGAAACAAAAAAAAAAGCTCCTTGAATCAGCTAATTTTGTTCTTCTGGAATTTATAGAGTACTATTTGAAAACTTGGAAATTCGTAAAATATACGAGGAGAAAAAATCATATAAATATTACGCAGCAACTCAAGTCTAAATCCCATGGTGGTATTAAAAAGAAAGTCACCAAGAATAATATAGTATAATAGCGATAATCCGAAAAAGTTTCAAGACAATAGAGTCATCTTAAGAAGACATGAACAAAACAAAACTAGAAGGTATGGTATAAAAGAAATAGCATGGAGTCTCGTAATGGCTTCACTTGAGAGGAATAAACCTAGACGAGTGTGTGGCACCATGACCGGGCTTACCATGCCTAACCGGTTTGTAAGTGATTGAGAACTCCGCAAGGTAATGTCCGATCATCTCCGGCTTAATCTCGATTTGGTTAAAAGTCTTTCCGTTGTAGACACCGATGATGCTTCCAATCATTTCAGGCATAATCACCATGTTCCTTAGATGTGTTCTCACTGGTTCTGGCTTCTCACCGGCTGGGGCCGCCCTTTTCTGTTTTAAGGTAAACCATATATGTCATCTCAAAGAACCAACACAAGATTTCTTAAAAATTTATAACAACACAGATTTAGACTGGGAAAAAAAAAACTTACCGCAATGCGCAATTTCTTGATGAGAGCCAAAGGCTTCCTCGTCAACCCTCTAGACAACCTACAAGGTGATGATCAACATAAACAAAACCAAAAATTCAGAACCCAAAGATATACTATAATCTACCAAAATTGATACAAACGAATGTTGTTGGTAGATCAAACCTTCTTCGAATACGGGAAGGGAAGAGCTTGACAAGATCATCGGTAGGCATGTCGAGAAGAGCATCGAGATCGACTCCTTTGAAGGAGAACTTCTTGAACGTTCTCTTTTTCGCTAGAGCAGCTGCGGAAACCTCTGATTCGACTTCAGCCTATGGATTCCGACAGAGAAATTGAAGACCATGCATGATGATGTTGCAAATCTAATAATATAATAATTTAAGGATTAGAGAGATGGAGATTGGAAAACTAACCATTGTTGTAAGTTTTGAGAAGCCCTAAAAGCAACTGGTGCTAGACTTTAGCTATAGAGAGACGACAAGAGACGCACGCAAACTAACAATAATAGGGTTTGCTTTTACACGAGCTGGGTTTAAAAAAGCTAGAATGTTGATGTTTAAGGGAACTTCCAATACAGAACTATCAAATATTTAATTGTTTCCATAAAAGTTCACAAGTATCTAAAATAATAGATGAATGAATATCTTCTGGTTATACACAACCACGTATTAGATTTAGGAATCCAATGGATTTAACATCTGTTCATAAGATTTTTTTTTTCATATTTGATAATAGGGTGATTTGGAAAATAAAGTTTCAGCCATCTGCAAACACAAAAAAGGAAACACTTTAAAGTCTAAACCATAAAGATTTCGAATTTTTATTCTTTAAGGATATGCGATTTAAAAATTAAATTCAACGATGTTAGTAAATATTGGCAGGTACCCAAAAGAGATGTGTAAATGACCCGACCCGACCCGTATACAAAGTATACTTGTGAACTAGACAGAGGAAAGCAAAGATAATGAAAAAAAAATGCTCTGTATTATTCAAACGCATGAAAAAATTGTTTGTAGACAAAACCTAAAGGAGAGAAGAGAAAGGCAGAGGAAATATTAAAGAGGAAAAAAAACAACAAACGAAAGAGTCGACTTTGGAGCATAAGAGAGACTCTGATTCACTTGAGAGGGATAAACCTGGAGGAATTGGTAGCACCAACACCAGGCCTACCGTGCTTAACCGGCTTATATGAGATTGAAAACTCAGCCAAGTAATGTCCAATCATCTCCGGTTTGATCTCGACTTGGTTAAAAGTCTTTCCGTTGTAGACACCGATGATGCTTCCGATCATTTCAGGCACAATGACCATGTTCCTCAGGTGGGTTCTCACTGCTTCTGGCTTCTCACCTGCGGGTGCGTCCCTTTTCTGCTCAAAACTTCATCATCTTTAGTGTTCATCAAAGCCATTTTGGTTGCAAAGAGCAAACACAACAAAACGAATATATGCATAGAGAAACAAGTCACAATAACCAAGAAATACACAATCTGAAGAAAGAAAAAACACATTCAAGAGAATGGCAGAATCAGAGATTTTGGACACTTTATTGTTGTTCAACGATGTAAAACACAATCACAAATCTTGTCAATTCAATATAGATCTAGTCAAGACAAGAAAATAGTGATACTATGATAGAAAATATGGGATATACCGCTTTGCGCAGTTTCTTGATCAAAGCCATAGGCTTCCTCGTCAATCCTCTAGAGAACCTATAAAGGAGAAAGTTACAATGACATAAACAGAGATCGGTCATGATCTCTACAAGATCGTTACAAAGCTTTTGTTTGTGGTTCAGAGACTCTGACCTTCTGCGGATACGGGAACTGAAGAGCTTGACAAGATCATCTGTAGACATGTCGAGAAGAGCATCGAGATCGACTCCTCTGAAGGAAAACTTTTTGAACGTTCTCTTTTTCACGATCCCAGCCGCTGCAGCAACCTCATCAGCCTACAGATTCCCATGGCAAGAAATTACAATCTATTCACTAGAAATATGATAGTGAGACAGAGATCGGGGATCTAACCATTGTTTTGGATTGTTTGAAACCCTACAAAATTCAGGAAGCCTCAAAACAGTGCCTGCGCAAACGACAAACAACTTACCTTAAGCACCAAATATATATAGCTTGGGCCAACAACCCTAGCAACATTTATTTTTATTTGTGAGGTACAAATATTCTTTTCAATTTTTATCCGGGCCCATATATTTGCAAAATAAAACCAACAAAACAAAATCTTGGAACCTATAAACCAACCATACATCATGATCGACATAACAAACAGTACTTTTTATTGCGTGTGCCCAAAGCGTTCGAATTGGAAACGATTCAGATTGATTTTCCCAAGTATTTTACTTGATACCCAACAATAGTATAATTACCTTGCGTCAAAAGCATGAAGTGATAAATCTATATATGAACTATTCGTTGCCGATCAATAGCAGATTTTTCCGAAAAAAGTCCTTTTTAAGTTTTCTTTAAATGACTGAAACAAGAGTTAACACACACACATCTAACGATGAGAGACTTAGAGCAGAGTAGCTAAAAGAGAGTGAAGTACAGACAAAATGGTCCAAAACAGACATTGAAGGACCCTATAATATAGCTGGCATAACGAGAACTGAGACAACACAGAGCATCGTGCCACAGGCTTTGTACGGTCTTCACTTGAGAGGGATGAACCTGGAGGAGTGTGTAGCACCAACACCGGGCCTTCCGTGCTTGACAGGCTTGTACGAGATGGAGAACTCCGCAAGGTAATGGCCAATCATCTCGGGCTTGATCTCAACTTGGTTAAAAGTCTTTCCATTGTACACACCGATGATGCTTCCAATCATTTCGGGCACGATGACCATGTTCCTCAAGTGGGTTCTCACCGGTTCTGGCTTCTCACCTTGTGGTGCCTCCCTTTTCTGCTTATCAAAATCAAAAGATCAAAGTTCTAAAATCTGAACCATTTGGTTGCATAACAATGAACACACGGAAATTTCTAAAGCATTCTCTAAGTTTACTGCATTTGGGAGCACACAGATGCAAGAAGAGAAAACACATAGCTCACAAAGCAGAGTCAGATTCTAGACACTTCGAATAGGATTCGCAACTCCAACACATTCAATTTAAACGCAAATCTAATCAGTGACGAGAGAAATTTAGGACTATACCGCTTTGCGGAGTTTCTTAATCAGAGCCATAGGCTTTCTCGTCAATCCTCTAGAGAACCTGCAAAAGAGATTCGTATAAGAAATTGGATTAGTAAGAGCTAAGAGACGATTCTAACAAAGCAAAATCGAGACGAATCATTTCTTGGTTCAAAGACTCTGACCTTCTGCGAATACGGGAGCTGAAGAGCTTGACAAGATCATCGGTAGACATGTCGAGAAGAGCATCGAGATCGACTCCTCTGAAGGCGAATTTCTTGAACGTTCTCTTCTTCGGCACTCCCGCCGCTGCAACCTCTGGTTCGACGTCAGCCTGGAGAATCATCCCATTGAGAAGTTACAAACCATGGTTTTGGAAATATGATTGATAGCATAAGAAGTAGATTCAGAGAGATGTAGATCGAGGAACTTACCATTGTTGGATCTCGGCAAAAAGATAAGTGGATAAACCCTCTGAATCTGATTCTACTAACGTTTTCCAAATGAGCAGCAAAACGTTGATATGTGCGGCGGATCCAATTATATACGAGGACTTCGGATAAACCCTAGAAGTTTTTTTATAAAAAAGGGTTTTATTGGTCCGTGAATTAAAAAAGGAGCTAAGAAAATTCACTAAATTATAAAATACAACGCGACGAAACAATATAAAGTACTGTAAACAATATAAACTTATTTCTCCGGTATCTAAATGTAATTGGCAATCAGATTTGGGTTTCGGGTGAAATAAATCATTTTCATGCTGGCCTACACAATAATATTTATATGCTTACAATTTTACCTTGGGGAAATGTCTTTAATGAGTAGTGAGGTCGTAGTTCACATCTCATCTCACTTTCTAGTACTTACGAGAAATCGCAAATGCGTTGAGAATTATGGTTTTGTTGGTTGTTGCAGATGTGGAGCGTATTGGAATTGGCATCTGTTCCAGGAGTTAGCTATGATATATGCTGCAAGAGGTGAGTCTCTATATCAATATGCCTTATCCAAATGGACTTGTTGCTTCCTTTCTTCTTTGGGTCCATTAGCATTGTGAAGAAGCTCATTATTGACATGTTTGCTCTGTTAATTTCAGGGGCTCGTTTGCTGTGCTACCCAGGAGCATTTTAACATGACAACTGGACCGCTGCATTGGGAATTACTGCAAAGGGCAAGGTACAATTCACTAAAGTTGCTTGGCTTAGTTAATCATGGTTGAAACCACAACGCTCACATCGATCTGTTTTCTTTTCCCGAACCAGGTTATTTACAACACGATGGTTGATGGATACTGTTGAAAAAGGTGATCTGGTTGGAGCTCAAAGCGATGGAGAAAGAAGGGATGGTGAAGCCAAATCATCTGGCGTATAATTGTTTGATTAAGAGATTTTGTGAGTTGGGGGAAATGGAGTATGCTGAGCAAGAAGTTAACAAGAGGAAACTCAAGGGAGCGTGGAGACGTATAACATCTTGATCGGGGGCTATGGAAGAAAGAGTGAATTTGATAAGTGCTTCAACATTCTGAAAGAAGGTCAAAGGAGGCACAGATTGTCAGCTCTAAATTAAATGGTCACAGCCTTGATGATGTAACAACAGAGGACGAGGCTCTACCTGCAATAGAGGAGCTGTGAAAATCAAAGAATATGTTTTTCCCTGGTTCATAAACTCGCTAGTTCTTCGTGAAAATCATTAAATGAAATACTTTGAATTCGGATTTATTCTTGTGCAAATACTCTTGGCGAATAGAGATGTATATTAGAAACCCTTAGTGAATTCATAAAACTACTGCTTCTTTGTAACTAATTAGATCCAGATACAAAGATAACAACGATAACGAAGATACATAAACGAGTACATAAAACGTTAAAACTTGGAGGATCCAGAGTGGGATCGGGGACGCTTGTCCTTGTTGCTTTTCTAATGATGGAAAGCTCCTGGTGGTGATGGCGATGGAGAATGCGGCGAGAGGGGAATCATGGTGCTCTTATATGACATTGGAGTTGTGTCGTGGATGTAAAACAACTGACTCTGAAAAGCTTGTGAGGCCCGAAGAGAGCACCTCCACATAACTTCCCCTCGGCGGCGAGAATAGAGGAACCTATGGTGGTGAGCGTGAAGAGCTGGAGAATGGAGACAAAATGAGTCTCTTTCCCCATGAAGCCGCTAGTGGTGATGGTGATGGAGAAGACGAGTACGAGTCGCGAATCAGGGTGGTCTTATCTGGCACGTGAGCATTGTGTGTTCGATGTGGAACAGCTAACATTAAATACCTTGTTAAGCCCGAAATAAGATTACTTTCAATTTTAACTTCTAAAAATTGTAATCATGTACAAAAATTGGACAGATTACATAAGGTTATTTGGTATTGAACCTAATTGCAAAAGGTTTACAAAGAGAATAGAACATCATAATTTGAAGACAAGCTGATAATTCTGGTTTATAGAGAAGATCATAAATTGAAAAAGGGCTTATATTTTACTAATATGAGTTTGATTGGTAATCTTTTGAAGTGTTTATAAGCCCTTTTTCAATTTATTCGCAATCTGCATAGTTACATATATGATGCATTGTTTTGTTGAGTTTCTTGACTACAAAACTGTGATAATTGAGAAATTAAAACTTAATATCAGCAATATATATCATATATGTGTACCCTTTAAACAAAAACATGTCTTAAATAAGTGGCACAATCTATTAAAAAGTAGGTATCAAAATACAAAGATATTTGTATGCATAGAACATACAAATATGACAGAATACAAAGTATAAATGTATCTAAAAAAAGAAAAATAATTATGACTATTAAGAACAGACCATAAAAATATGGTTCACTAAGTAAAACGATGATGAAGAAATATATCTCTCCAAATAGACAAACAATATAAGGGTGGTATAGTAATTTAGGATCATACGATGGGCTTCAAAGTAGTTGGGCCTTATTCTGATTCAGTAGACAGACTTAGACATTTCCTGGAATTTTTGGGAATTCCGGCAACTTGGGAAGTTCAGGCATCTTTGGTAGCTCTGGCTTAGGAATCTCCTGCATTTTTGGAACTTCAGGTTTTGGAATCTCTGGAATCTTTGGTACGTCAAGTTTTGGAACCTTTGGAATCGTCGGTAGCTCTGGTTTCTGAATCTCTGGCATTTTTGGCAACTCCGGCTTCGGAATCTCTGGCATCTTTGGCAACTCCGGCTTCTGAATCTCCGGCAACTTGGGAGCCTCAGGCTTTTGAACCTCTGGAATCTTCGGTAACTCGGGCTTAGGCACCTCCGACATCTTTGGTAGCTCCGGCTTCTGAATCTTTGGCATCTTTGGTAACTCTGGCTTCTTAATCTCCGGCAACTTAGGAACCTCAGGCTTTTGAACCTCTGGAATCTTCGGTAACTCGGGCTTAGGCACCTCCGGCATCTTTGGTAGCTCTGGCTTCTGAATCTCCGGCATCTTTGGTAACTCTGGCTTCTGAATCTCCGGCATCTTTGGTAGCTTTGGCTTCTGAATCTCTGGCATCTTTGGTAACTCTGGCTTCTGAATCTCCGGCAACTTAGGAACCTCGGGCTTTTGAACCTCTGGAATCTTTGGTAACTCGGGCTTAGGAACCTCTGGCATCTTTGGCAACTCCTGCTTTGGAACCTCCGACAACTTAGGAGCCTCAAGCTTTGGAGTCTCCATCAACTTAGGGAACTCAGGCTTTGGAATCTCCGGAAACTTGGGCAATTCGGATTTCGGAATCTCCGGAAACTTAGGCAACTCAGGCTTCGGAATCTCCGGAAACTTTGGCAACTCAGGTTTTGGAATCTCCGGCACCTTTGGCAACTCAGACTTTGGAATCTCCGGAAACTTTGGCAACTCAGGCTTAGGAATTTCCGGAATCTTGGGCAACTCAGGCTTTGGAAATTCAGGTAACTTTGGCATCTCTGGTTTAGGTAGCTCCGGCAACTTGGGAACTTCGAATTTTGGCAGCTCCGGGTGAGGTAGTTCAGGCAATTTCGGTATCTCTGGTTTAGGAATCTCCTCCACTAACCGGCGAGCTCCGACTGAGACCGGATCAGAGAGCAATGCAATAATACAGATGATCAGAATTGGTGATGAGAGGAGAAGAGCAAATAGACTCTTCTTCATCGGTGCCATGTTGCTTGCTTGACAAGTTCTTGCCTTCTTCTTTTATGCTTCTTCTTTTGCTTTGTTGTGTGTTGCTGTTGGTTTGTGATGAGCTTTGGTCTTTGATTCGAAAGGCTATTTAAAGGGTGTTTTGAGTAAGAAGAAAGATGGAGTTTGGTGAGAAAAAATCTGTACAGACCATTTGAATCAAAAAGTTCGTTTAACCTCTCTATCTGTATATCTACACTGTCATTTTCAATCTAGTTGAATTTTAGGTTTTAGTGTTTACGTGGCCATGTTTTTGTTATACGTGTATCTTAAGAAATACTTAAACTTTGTAAACTAGAAGAACCCATTTTCATCAAATTTATATTAAAAATTATTAGAAAAACGAAGATGGGACTTGATGAATTATATGCGTCTTAAAACTCTAGTCTGTCTTAATGATTCTAAATTTCTAATAAATCAAAACCAGCTTCAAGATGAATTTTTTTGCAAATAAATTTGGTAGATTTTAAAGTATGGAAACGCAATTTTTCTATATCACAAAAAAGAAGCAAACAATGTTTAGGTTTTGGCCGGTAATCTACACAACGACTTACAGTACATCCTTTTTCATTGTGTGTAGGTTATGTTCTTTGTCACCAAAGTCATAGATGTACAATGTATTGTTTGATATTGATCTTCAAACAAATTTACAAAAGAACAGTTTCAGAATTGGGTAAAGCTCTAGTAAAAAAACTTTTTTTTTAAGTAAATGCCTACTTACTCTTTCATCAAGATTCTTGTGGAGCTAAAACAAGCGTGAGTAGATTAAAAGCCATTTCCACCATAAATAATAACATTGTGCTTACTCAGACGTCTATAGCAACCAAATCATGCCAAGTTATAGTAAGCAGATAAAACTTTTTTTTTTGGTTATGATACAGAGGAATATATCAGCAGATTCCATCTACATAGATTCCACAAAAGAAACAAAATTACACCATTTTCTACATAGATTCCACAAAATAAACAAAATTACACCATTTTTTACTATGAACATCAACCAGCAGCATACCTAAGGCCTAAGGCAGCCACAAAACAAACAAGAGACAAAAAAAAAAAGCCTTACTTTATCATCTGCAACAACAGAAAGTATTAACAGTCTATTTAAGAACTCATCAAGTTCCTCCAAAAAACCCTTTCCCTTCGACATTATCCACCTTTCTGGTTTCCCTTCGCATCATCTCTCCGACTGTCTTCATCATCAGATATTATAATATACAAGTCATCATCATTATCATCGTAACAGTTTCTTGGAGGAGCCTTCTTAACATTTGCTTGCTGATCAGAGCTTTGCACAGGGTAAACAAAGAGGTGTGAAATTGGCGACCAACCAGAGCCAGAGGTTTTCGCACGATCTGAAATCGCTAATGGGAACACAGCCATTGAACAGAAGTAAACGCCTTCACCATTACCCTCCACTGGTGGCGTTTGCGTCTTAACCGCTTCAAACACTCTTCTACATTGCTGACACCTCAACACGCATCCCTCGTACCCCTTGGGGTACTCAAAAAGCGCGAAACAGAATGGACAAGCAGTCCAAAAGCTTGTAGCCATAGGATTCTCCGAGGTCTCAGCTTCGCTCTGCAATGGCGGCGAATCCCGTCGGGACTGAAATCGCTGCGATTCGCTATGGGTTTGGCCGAATTGACCAATTTGTGTCATCTGCAGCTCTCGGTCGTACATTGATTTCCTGGGAGGATCAGAGAGGACGCACCAAGCATCAGAGACGAGCTTAAGCGCCCGATCGGCGAAAGGGAGATGATTAACCGCGGGACTGAGGAGAAGAGCGAGTCTACGGTACTGAATCGCGGCGTGTTCGGGGTTTTGTGTTAGCCGGACGAGTCGGAGCACCGGGTACCAGTCTGGTAGTTTCGAATCTCCGACGGTGGATTCCCCGGCGAGGAGAGTGTCGGAGATGGCGAGGATAAGGTCCGCTGCATCTGTTCGGGAAGGGTCGGCTTCGCATGCACGGATCGCAAATGTCTTTGCTCCGTGGAAGTCACTTGAGGCCAAGAGCTTCTCCGAAGTAAGTAGACACTGATCCGCCTCCGCACTGTTACTATCGTCGCCTACCATAACTCCGTTTCTCCCTTTTGCTCCCTTTTCTCTTTTTTTTGGGTTAAAACCCTTAAATACAAAGCAGAGCTTAATTTTGTTAGTGGACGAACCGATAATTCCAACCGGATCGGAAAACTTTCAACCGGATCGGTATGAAATTTATACTACACTATACAACAATATACCAATGATCGTCATAGAGTGGAATCTCATTGGACCTTTCTTTAAACCAAGCTGGTCAACCATGGTCAATTTGACATTGGAACTAGTTTGTCTGCCACCTGTTCCTCTAAATATAGTAATTTTTTGTGAGTCGTTAACAATTTGTATAGGAACCAAGTTTTTTTTTTCCTAACAATACGGTTTTAATAATCATTAATCAAAGTCAAAAATTCTCATGGGGTGAAACGGTAAGATCGGAGGTGGTAGTAAGACTGTGTTAACAGCCACACATGATCCTCTATTTCTTTTTCTTCCCACTCAATTTATTTCTCAATAAGAAGAGATCGGAGAAGAATTAAAAGACGATCGATAATAGAGGTAGAGATCGATTACAACAATGGATGAAGAGTACGATGTGATTGTTCTTGGGACTGGTCTCAAGGAGTGTATCCTTAGTGGTCTCCTCTCTGTCGATGGCCTCAAGGTTTTCTCCTTCACCATCTTCTTTCACAATTCACTCTCAAATGCGAACTTGCTTTTGTGCATCACATTCATATAAAATTTTAATTTTACGTTTAGTTCTCGCCTTTGTTTAACTATAGTTATGAATGGTATGCCAGATCAATAGTTATACGGCGAAATAATAATCCAATGATAATTTCTTACCTTTTCAACGAGTTCTTGTTACAGGAAAATTAAAAACAACTTTTGTTTCATAAAATCATGAATGGTCTACAAGATAGTATAGTTAATGTGAAACATTAGCAAACAGATTGTAGAAGAGCAAGTAGATTCATTTTTCACATATGCGAATTCATTAACGAATTTTCAATTTTTTATTCTTGGGATCTAAAAATATGTAGGTACTGCATATGGATAGAAACGACTACTATGGAGGAGAATCAACCTCTCTTAACCTCACCCAGCTATGGAAGCGTTTCAGGGGAAGTGACACTCCTCAAGAAAATCTTGGAGCTAGCAGAGAATACAATGTCGATATGATCCCAAAGGTCCATATATATAAATGCATCTTTATACGTGAATGTATATAAATGTGAATAGATTAATGGTGAATATGGTTTCTTGATCTGCAGTTCATAATGGCCAATGGACTCCTTGTTCAAACCCTAATCCACACAGATGTCACCAAGTATCTTAACTTCAAAGCCGTCGATGGTAGCTTCGTGTACAAGAAGGGCAAGGTAGTAGTTAAGTATGTTTTACTTTCAGAAACAAATTAAATTACTCTGAGATTTTGATCCTCTATACCATACGAATTTCAGATCTATAAAGTCCCGGCCACTGATGTGGAAGCCCTGAAATCACCATTGATGGGTCTGTTCGAGAAGCGACGTGCCAGAAAGTTCTTCATCTATGTGCAAGATTACGATGAGAAGGATCCTAAGTCTCATGAAGGACTTGACCTTAGCAAAGTCACTGCTAGAGAGATCATCTCGTACGTACAACGTTTTTTCTTCCATCTCAAGTCATTTCAATTTCATCATAGTTTCTTGAATCACACGCTTTTTCTCTCTATTTTTTTTTTCCTTCCCAATAGGAAGTATGGACTTGAAGATGATACGATCGACTTCATAGGGCATGCCTTAGCGCTTCACAATGACGATGACTACTTGGATCAACCCGCCATTGATTTTGTCAAGAGAATTAAGGTAAACTGGTTTCCTTTCTTCCTCAACAAGGAAATGTTTCTAAGCTCAATGTCATTTTATTGTTCTGTTATATGGTGAAGCTCTACGCGGAATCTTTGGCTCGATTCCAAGGAGGATCTCCTTACATATACCCATTGTACGGTCTTGGAGAGTTGCCACAGGTTCGTGTTCGCTTTATTCTCATGACACATCTTAATTTAAGACATTTTTCTATGTCTCAAATCTTTGTTTCTATCTCAGGCTTTTGCGCGTTTGAGCGCTGTGTACGGTGGGACTTACATGCTCAACAAGCCTGAATGCAAGGTTACCCACGATCCATATACTTTTCTTTCTCGGCTTTATTTATTAGGAATTTCATATTCAAAAATGTAAGAGATTTATTAATCTAGCTTGTATATAAATGATATTTGTTAACTCTATATATATATACAATAATTGTTAATTATAGAAGCTCACGAATTTTTAACATTATCCCTACCAGGTTGAGTTTGATAGCTCCGGAAAAGCTACTGGTGTCACTTCTGCTGGAGAAACTGCTAAATGCAAGAAAGTTGTCTGTGATCCTTCTTACTTGTCTGACAAGGTAATCGTAAATCTATTTCACCAGCATAAACTGGTTAACTAGTTCTAATACAGCCTAGCTAAGATGGTTTCTTTGTATTTCAGGTTAAGAAAGTTGGGAAAGTGACTCGAGCGGTATGTATAATGAGCCATCCTATTCCAGACACCAATGATGCTCATTCGGTCCAGATCATTCTTCCTCAGAAGCAACTCGGTCGCAAATCAGACATGTAAGCGATCGTAATCAAAACCACATTCAATTATAGAAACATGGATCTCACTTGCTTCTACTTTGAAAAAAATTGATCTCAGAGATTTTTGGACTTTGTAGGTACCTGTTCTGTTGCTCATACGCTCACAATGTGGCACCAAAGGGCAAATACATAGCTTTTGTCTCTGCAGAAGCTGAAACTGACAATCCAGAGGAAGAGCTTAAACCTGGAATCGAATTGCTTGGACCTATTGACGAGATCTTCTATCATTCTTATGACACATACGTTCCGACCAATAATCAAGAAGAAGATAACTGCTTCATCTCTGCTGTAAGTGAAAATCAGAATACATGATATCTTACATGTCTTGTTTTCTTTTCTTAATGTTTCTTTGTTTTGTTTTCTCAGACTTATGATGCAACAACACATTTCGAGAGTACAGTTTTTGATGTGCTTGAGATGTACACCAAGATCACTGGAAAGGTATATACCCTAACCACTTTGTTTCTTGATTCACAAGTAAGCGAAACATTGCAAACACTGAGTTTTTCTACTGTCTATTTTGCAGACTCTTGATCTGTCTGTGGACTTAAGTGCTGCAAGTGCTGCTGCGGAAACTTGATAACTTTTCGTTTCTTAAATTGCAAGTGACTGTTTCTTATTTTTTATTGGATATTTACAATACAGTTCAAACTTCAAAGTAACAGAAGTTTACCTTTTTGTTCATCTTACTTATAACACTGGTTGGTTTTGCTATAATTTGTGCTATTTAAGTATTTACACAGTATTACGAGCCTTAAATTTATCGTTTTCCGAGTGTTTTGGCGAATTCAAAAGTTTAGATACCATCTTTTGACAAGATTTAATCAAAATGAGCAATGTTTATGAATATTTTTAAAATTTTACTTGGTTAAAAAAAAAAGATAAAAATCAAAATCCCCTAACTGGACCGGCTCAAACAGTTTCCTTACTTTTGCCGATTAAAATCAAAATCTCCTAACAGAAACCAATTTTCTTCTAAACCAGTGTTGGTTTTTGATCAAATGCTTCCAGGTTTAATCGTAAACAATACAAAAATCTCGGTTAAGGCCGTATTTTTTGGACATTTGATCTATCTCGGTACGGGTTAATTCGGAATATAAACCGTGCATTGGTGCGATTCGGTTGATGCCGTATAAACCCCCATCCTTTTATACGACGCCGTATCCGCACACCAAAAAGTCCTAAACCCCGTCGTTAGCATCTTTCTTCCAGAAGTGTCGTTACGGAGTTAGAGAGAGAGAGAGACAGTGAGCGGGAAAAGAATGGAGGGAAAAAGCTTTCTCTCTTCTACAGAGAAGAAGTCCGGAGCGCGCGACCCGATTCCCGTATTCGGATCTCCCGCCCGTTCGCCGCCGCTCTCGCCATTGTGGGTGGCGCCGGCGCATGTAAAGTTTCGCATCCTCTGCCCCGAGTCTCGGGCCGGTGCTGTAATCGGATATTGTGGAAGCGTGATCAATCAGATTAAACAGTTAACGAGATCAAAGATCCGAGTCGAGGACGCTCCTCTTGGTTCCCCGGACCGGGTCGTCACGGTTGTCGCACATGGAGATTCGGGGTCTAGGGTAAAACTAGATGATGGCTATGGGGAGGAGGAAGAAGTTGAGGTCTCCAGAGCACAAGAAGCGTTGATTAGGGTTTTCGAAGCTCTGATTGAAGGATTTGGGACTGGTACGGTCTCGTGCAGGCTGTTAATGGAAGCCAGCCATGTGGGTGCTGTGAAAGGTGCGGGTGGTGAAATAGTGGAGATGATAATGAAGGAAACTCGTTGTAAGGTTCAAATAGGGACAGATCATTTGCCGATTTGCGCAGATCCCGATGACGCTTTGGTGGAGGTACGAACTCTTGATTCAGTGTTTTGTTTTCTGGATAATGCTGTGAAATCTCTGAATCTTGAATGCTTCTGGTTTTTCTTGATTAGGGTCGATTAACCGATTTGCGTCTGACCTTGTTTCTTTTCCGTAGAATCGTTCTTTAGACTAGCGAAATCTTAGTCGTTGATTGGTCAACTTCTTGTATAATCATTGACATTAAAACTTGTAAAGATAGCATTTTGTAGATGCTTGTGTTCTCTTATACTTTCTCCTGCTGAGTGAACCTACTAAATCTGTGGCAGATGGTAGGAAGTGTATTGGCAGTGAAGAAAGCTCTGGTATCCGTATCCAGCCGCTTGCAAGCTTGTCAGCAGATTTGTAAGACAAGGATGGTTCAACGAGAAGCATTATACAGGTCTTGTGATGTTTTCCAGGGAGATGACCATAAAGATGTGGATCCTCGTGATTCCTTGCATAGACATTTTGAGATCGGTCAAAGAGATGCTCTGGATAGGCGTTTGGAGCCATTTCCACCAGATGATTACCAAAGGCGTACTGAAACAACCACACAAGAAACTCTTTCTCAGCCAAGGATAGATACGCATCCTCACAGGATCATTGCCTCTGCTTCAAAGAAAGATCCTGTCACCATTGAGCAGCCTCTCTCAGAACCTGATGATGATATCCGAAAAATAGTTTTTAAGCTACTCTGTCCGACCGAAAGTGCTGGTGGTCTTATTGGGCCAGGGGGTGCCAATATCAAGACTATTCAAAGTGAGTCAGGCGCCTCCATATATGTGGCAGATACACCTGCTAACTGTGATGAATGCTTGATTACAATTACATCAGAGGTTGGTCTTCGCTTAACTCTTACCATTTTTAAATCTCTTTGTTTGCTTTCTTCTATCTATTAATTATTCTTGGTTAATGTTTGTTGCTTGTGCGCCATCTTGTAGATCCCTGAAGACAGACTGTCCCCAGCACAAAGAGCTATTGTCCTTGTTTATTCTAGATTATATGAGATTTCTACAACGAGAATCCTGGACAGTGGCTCAAGGCCATCTACCACTGCACGGCTTGTGATCCCCACAATTCAGGTTGGATGGTTGCTGGATAATTCTTCTCAAATGTGGACAGATTTTGACGTTTCTATACAAGTATTGGAGGTTAGGAAGAACCCAAAATGCATCTCAGCGAACGATCATGTTGTGCAGGTACTTAGAAATGTACTGTAACCCTTAAGTAGAAGCCAATATTTTTTATATGAGATCGTTGCTTTCTCTTATATGTTAATTAATAGATATTAGGGCTTCAGTTTGCATATAGATGTATTCTGTGCTGGTCGATAATCATGGAGAATTTGAGATGGAGCATTTAAAGCATGCATGTAGACTAAGAGATTAAAAGTCTTTCCCTTGTTTGTTTGGATGTCTGTCTTATACACGTACTTTCCATTCCACTAGATTTCAGGAGAGTTCCCAACTGTGAAAGGTGTGATCTACCGTATTACCAGTGTGCTACGAGCCTTGGGGATCGCCCGTAGAAATACGAGTTCCATGGGATTTCATCCATCTTCAAGTGATTCATTCACCATTTCTACAAGACGGGGCATAAGATCTAAGGACTCCTTCCAGAGGGTGTCTCATAATCCAGCGAACTATTCCAAGCCTGTTGATGTGAATCCTTATATAAGACCACAAGATCCATTTCTGAGTAGCTTCAGTCCCACTTCTGGATATCCTCCAAATTTTGGTCAGGGATCCACTACGGACGTTGATCATCTCTTAAGTGAAGCTCCATCTCAGTTATGGTCGTCACCGGTATGTCTCCGTGTGAACTCATTGATTTGCATAGCCATTTCACATATACCTGCAGAGTTTATTTCTTACAATTTTAAATACTCTGTTTGGTTTCTTTTAGCTGATCATACATAGTATTAAATACAGCCACCTGCTGCTCCAAGAGGTGCGTACGATGTCAGTGGAGGATTATCTTCTACAATGGCTGACCTTGGACTTGTCAGGTAAGACTATGTGAGAAGAAGCTGTATTTGTTCTGAAAGCAGTAACACGCTGGCTTGACCCTTTTGCAGCGGACACATATCTTCCGTCGTTACAAACATAACTGTGGAAACCAGAGTTCCAGAGAATGCTGTGAGCTTTGTGTGCGGAGGAGAGGTGGATGGTCACTATCGTCTTAATGCTATGAGACGGGTAACACATATTCTGCATACTAAATTCTTTCCTTGATTACTTCATAGAATTGTCTGGATTAGGCCTGAGATGGGATTCAAAGTTGTATCTGATCATTTGATGTTCTCTAATCAGATATCGGGCGCGACAGTCATAGTCCATGAACCTCAGCTTGGAACAAGTTACAGGATCATTGCCATATCTGGGACACCTGATCAAATCCAAACAGCTCTAAAAATTCTTCATGCCTTATTGCCTTTATCCGCATAGATGAATCGTTACCATTGCTTTTTTCATCATATAAGTGATGCCATCATGGGAAGCACAAGGAGATTTGTTTCATTCGTTCTTGTCGGGATTTTTTTGACTCTTTGTACAGTATGCTTTCAACTAACCATTTTGATTGAGTAATACTAATTACTAATGTTTTCTCTAATTTTCCCTATTTTATTTATTTATAACATTACTCTACACATGAAATGAATTAGACTTCGGATTCAGAGTTCAGACATCTGAAATCTCCATAAACTTAGGGGAACAAACCCCACTTTCTGTAGCAAATTGCATTACAAAGTAAATCATCTAACTAAATCCAAATATTATTAAAGTGGGGAATAAATTATATTATATAGTTCTTCTATCAACCTTTGTGACATTTGCCGGCCGAGAACCACCACAAAGTTTGAGATTCGATGTCGTTGTCCAAAGATGAAGATGTTGCAGAGGGTTAATCAACTAGTCAGGTTTGTGTAAATTGTAAGTGAAGCTTTTTGTTCTAAGCCCTTGAAGAAGCTTTCAAGAAACGACATCGTATAGGTAAATTCTGGGAAGGAGAAAAAAAAAGAAAGTAAATTATCTGAAAGATGAAGTTGTTACGGCCCAGTAAAAGCCCGAATCCGGTGTGTTTTCTTTGAGGCGCAAGAACGTGCCCGGCAAGGGGATACTCTCTCATCTAGAGAGTTCGATTCCACAGCAAACCAATAAAACTTTTACACGTGTAAATCTCTCGTGGTCCCGACCTCATCTGATTATGCCGTCTTTCTCTTATAAATTTGTTTCCTCAGGCTTATTTGTCGTCCAGAAAAGAGAAAAAAAGAAAGAATAGCGTCAAGTTTTCGCCTGATAATTTTCACTTGTTCGACTTCTACATTTCAAAATGCCTCGACGCAGCTCCGGAGGTGAGTATTCTCCTTTTTTTTGTTCTCTTCTTATTTTTCAGATCTCTTCCTTCACGTTTGGGTATATTAGGATTTCCGCATGTCACAACATATTTTCAGGGTTTATGTTTGTGTCAACAAAGGGGGAAAATTGATTTTGTGGGTTAATTTATTTGTTGTGCAGGAAGATCTGCTCCTCGCCCTCGTCCCGCAGCTGCGCGTAGCCCTCCTCCCCAAACTGGTGAGTTTCATTTTCGGCCGTACATTCATCAGTCAATATTCTGTAGCTTCATAGATTTTCTGTGATATGTAATTTGCGTTTTTCTTCATCAGTTAATCGTGCTCCTCCTCCAGCAACAGCTCAGCCTAACGGTGGTGGTTCTGTCTTTGGGAGTATTGGCTCAACCATAGCTGATGGTATGCGCTTTTTATCTGTTTGCTTTTGGTGTTTTTTTAAAGCAATTCGTCTTTCCATAGGTTAGTGGTTTGGTTTCTCTTTTTTTTTTTTTTCTGATGTATTGTTTATTTGGAACTAGGTATGGCTTGGGGCACTGGAAACGCAGTTGCACACAGGGTAATGGATTCTGTGATGGGCCCAAGAACCTTTAAGCACGAAACCGTTGTTTCTCAGGCCGCCCCTGCTTCTTCCCCTGTTCCAAACAGCACTGACTCTGGTTCTTGCGACACTCACTCCAAGGCTTTCCAAGATGTAAGTATAAAACCCTTTCTTTATCCTCTTTTAAGCATTTTAGGTTGATACTGGATGAAATCCTTTGTGATTAGGCCCTTCTCATTCTCCTGTCTTCAGTGTAGTACGGCTTAGCGTTGCGTACGTGTTACTATTTATAAGATAATAAGGAATATTGTAGGTGAAACCAGCACCTAGATCATCACTAATTGGTTAGATATCCATTCATATATACACTGAAACTGAAGGACAAGCAGGCACATTGAAAAGTGCTTTCCTTTATCGTACTCTTGTGTATACAAGCCTATCTGGTTGACTCAGGGATGTTTTTGTTCTTCTTTGTTGTGTTGTAGTGTGTTAACAATTTTGGAAGCGACATCAGTAAGTGCCAGTTCTACATGGACATGTTGTCTGAGTGCAGGAAGAATGCTGCTGGTTCCATGATGGCTGCTTAAGTGTGATCTCGCGTCTACTATTTGGAAAAAACCTGCGTGAAATTAGGGAAATTTGTAATAAAGAGTCTATTTGGTATTTAGATAAAAGCTTAGGTCTACTTGCTGTTTGTTTTTATGTCTCTGCTAAAGAAAATCAAACAACGAATTCTCGCCATGATGTTTGTAGCCTCGGAGATGTTAAGAGTTATTAATCATTTTTACTGCTTTTATAAAAAAAAAAAATCAAACTATGGCAGAGTTAAAACAAACCCAACAAAATATTAACGATCTAACGTCGCAAACATAACAACAATCAATTTTACAATTTTTAAATGGGTTTTGTATTCTTAGACCAAAAGAAAATGAAGAAAAGAAAGAAAGTTCAAAATCAAAGTAAATGCTAGAGAGCATTTGGCATCATTCTCGAATATTGTTTGGAGATTGTGTTGGTTGTTCTTAAATCTAGATTCTCTGAATCTTCAGCTTAAAGCATCAGGTGTTGAATGCAATTAGCCGATCTTTTCTCAACTTCTAGTCTTTTGAGCATCTTTTAACCTTTTGGCAGAGTTAAAATTCTCCTCGTTCATATTGTGAATGGGCATAATAAACATCGAATTCTTTTTTTTCAACGTAGGTCACAAAACAAATAAACCTATATGTTCATAAAAAAAATTGTGAATTGACGACGTTGCAAAATTGCTTGTTCAACAATAGAGTATACGAGCCACCAAATTCCACATATATTCTTTTGGGGGCTTGGGATGCAAGAAACTTGTGTGGGAAGGAAACTTACGATAATTTTATAATTATGATAACAAGAACTATATTTGCAAACATATATATAGACAAGTTGCAAATCAAAATTCTCTTTATTTTAGCTTTAACATAGGTTTCGTGTGTATTATGTAATGTTTTTCCTTGGTTGTGTAGAAAGATCTGCCTCTCGCCCTCGAGCAGCAGCTGCACGCAGCCGGTCTTCTCAAAGTAGTAGTAGTACTGGTAAATTTCGTGATATATCAACTAAAACTTTATCTTTCTATTGTTAATTTAGGAACCAAGTTTTTGTATTTTATGATCAAACGTTTAACAAATCCGTGATATGAACAAAGTTTTTCAAATGAAATCACAATAAAAGTTAAATGAAAAAGTGTAATTAATATTTGGATATTTGTATTGTATATATATATATATATATAATTTAATTAAGCTGATGTCTTTTTGTTGTTGTTGTTGTTGTTTGTGTAGCCAAATCTGCTCCTCGCACTCGATCAACAGCTTCACACAGCCCATCTCATCATACCGGTAATTAAATTTTCAGTTTTGGGGTTGTATTTCGTTAGAGACAAAATTTTAGAAGTAGTACTTCTGAAAATTTGTGTTTTAGGAAAATGATAGCTTTAAATGCCCAGTCGCTAACTATTCATCATCACCTTTTTTACATATTGTGAGATTTATAAAGTGTATTTTTCATTTGGTTAATTTCTTGGTTGCTCAGAAAGATCTACTCCACGCACAGCAAGCCACAGTTCACCTCCTCAGGCTGGTAAATTTTCATTTTTGAGCAATATCTCTGCTATAACCTTTTGGATTATAAGTTGTGAGAGTTCTTTAGTTTAGGATTTTAATTAGTTTTTTTTTTTTTTTTATGTTATGTGTTTTGTTTTTTCAGCTCATCATGACTACTCCTCGAGCGGAAGTGGTAGTAACCATAATGGCTACTCCACGAGCAGAAGTGGTAGTGACTACTCCTCCAGAAGTAGTTACCATCATGATAGTGATGAAGGTATATATATGCACGTTAACTCTCATTTTTAGATGATTTTTAAGCAATTTTCGTTTTGGATAATGATTTGATTACAATCTCCTTGTTTACGAGAGTCATTCTATTTCTTTCGAACTAGGGTTCTCTTTTGGTTTCATAGACGCAGTTGTGAATGCTATAAAGAGCTCACGAACGGCCTCTAAGGCAGAACCTGAGGCCGCAGCCGAAGTTGCAGATAGCAGTGACTCTATTTCATGTGTCACTCAAGCCAAAGCTTTCCAACATGTAAGTTATCGATCTTCCCTATCTTCTTTTGGTTTCCTTTTGATTTTCATCAATTCATTATTGAACACTTATGTATTTATATACAGGCATTGCATCTTTATACTTATAAATCACAAGTCAGTTGGCAATTATCCATCTGACACATGTCTTTTTATATTTTTTGTTTTTTTATTTATTTGAAATATCCATCAATTTTACAAAATATCGACCTAAAATCTTTTTTTTCTCTTTCTCGTAGTGGCTACTTTTTAGGTTAAAAGGATATCATGTTATTGTTTTTAATCTCCATTTAAAAAAAAAGAAGGCGTATTGACAAAAATTAAGTAATAAAAAGTTTTACGGTTAAAATTTCCACGTTTTCAATCCACGATCTCCACCTCTTTCACATATATGTAGAAAAGTTAAAAAACCTGCTTAGAACTGATTAAAACTGGATATACAAAGACTCATAGATCTACAAAAATGATGGGGGCTTCGGGTAAAAGTAACCTTGAAGCTAATTTCTCATGGCAAATAGCAGAGTCGACGACAATTTGAAAAAGTATGTATTCATATTTAGATTCATATGACAACATGTTTTGTGTCTGATTTTTCTAAGACTTTGGCTTTATGCTTTAGATGTTTACAGAGAAGTTTCATTTCACAGAGAAGTTTGAAGTTTGCTTATTCGGCGTTGTACTTTTGGAACTAATAACCGGACGTTGTGAAAACAATGCCTACGTCGATGATAGCTTGACTGATACGTTTCTACTCCGACTTTAAATAATCTAACTTTCCATGATTTTTTTAACAATCTAACTGTTGAATAAAGCAAATGCTCTATTTTAATAATGAAAAACAGGCACGACTTTTTCTTAACCGAGCATCTGCAAGGAAACTTTGAGGATTTGACTGATATAAAAATGAATAATGAGTATGACCGAGAGGAGATGACACGCAGGTTGGTTGTGCTTCGGTTTGCATTCCCTCACCGTATATCTTGCATGATCCAGGTAACTTAATTTTTTCCCAATCTTCCTTTGTTCTAAGGGTGAGCATTCGGTTTTGAAACTAGAACTAAAAAATTTAGTTTTAATAAATAAGAAATTCAAGTTAATGTTATGTGCATTTTGTAGAAATAAAATCTACTTTTAGTTTATATTTCAATAAAAAGTATGATTGAAATATAACCTCGGGTTCGGGTTCAGATTAGGTTGTTAAGAAGCTGTAAACAATAAAAAAGTGTAAGAAGAAGATGTAGGCGAGGAAGAAGAAGAGAAATGATGAAAGCTTTCCTTATATTTTAATTGTTTTGTAAATCTAAAATACAGATGAACACAGTTTTATTCGAAAATATGTAGTATGTTGTTAAGAATTTATGATTTTAGATCTATACTGTTTAGAAAAATAAAATAAAATAGATAATAATAGTATTTGCATGTACAATAAATAGTTATAGATGAATAGAATAACATATCGATAAACTGTATATTGTTTGGATTGCATTTATATATAAATAAATAAATTTTCCGGTTCTAAATGTGAATGTAGATATTAATAGTGATATACTAAACGCATTGTTGACTTAAAAACAGATTTTAATGCAGTGAAAAAATATATAATAATCAATTCCTAAAAGTCTTAAATATATTTTTAATTGAGTTTCATATTTAAATTATGTAATCGTTTTAGCCTGCACGAAGTGCGGGCACAATACTAGTTGTGGATAAATTTGTATATAGGAAGTTAGGATGCTTGTGATTTAGGAGTCATGATTGTTACATTTTTTTTTGCATTTAAACGTTTCGGTCTTCCATTATAGTCGAATGCTACTATAGATTCAAGGCTTATCTTTGTTTTTGTGTGTAGTGCCTCGACGAGTCTGAAACAGACATCAGTAAATGTCAGTCCTTCATGGACATTTGGTGCAAGTGCAAGAAGAAGAGTCTCGATTACACTTTGAAATCCTAAATGTGTTTGTTAGGTGTCAAACCATTAGTTCTTATTTACAATTTTATCAAGACAGTTGTTGAAATTTGTAATTCAAATTAGTAGTCCTGTGTTTTTCTTTTTATGCTTTGATGTAAAAAAAGAGAAGAAAATAAGGGGCTTTAAAAGAAGATAACAAATAAAAGGGGGAGAATTATAAAAATATGTAAAGTTTGAGTTGTTCAATGCAATTTAGCCGATTCCCTCCGCTTCAAACAAAGAATCTCTCAGTCGTGAACAAAACAAACCTTCCAAATCCCAGCCGTAGATGATTTTCCGGCGTTTATCCGGGAGATTTCTGTCGGCTTTTTCAACCTCTTACAAACTTCGATTCGAGGCTGCACGGAGTTTCCGATCAGATACGGCGCTCGAAGCCATAGCCAATGCGTCGGAAGAGAAAGTACCAAACTTAGTGCTGTACAATTATCCTTCCTTCTCCGGAGCTTTTTCGGCTCTCTTCGCTCATCTCTACCACTCTCGCCTCCGTATTCCCTGTCTCATCTTGCCCTTCTCTTCGGTCGTACCCTTTAGGTCAACATTTCCTCTTCTCTTCTCTTATCAATCGTTGCAGGAGAGATTGATTCAGTTTTAATAGGTTTTGAGTTTAAAAATTTATGATTCGGAAACTGGGAATTTGAAAAATCTTTGCAGAGTTGAAGATCTGTGCTTGGAGGGGTTTAAGAGGTGTTATCTGCTCGATTTTGTTGCTCCGAAGGGCTTTTCTGCTACGATTTGCCGGAAAACAGATTGCGAGTATGTTCAGTGATAGTTGAATATTACAAACATTTTGGTTCAAAATTTTAAGCTTTTTTGGGGTCTAATTTCGTGAATTTGGGGTTTAGGATCATATGTTTCGATCACCGAAAGTCAGCAGTTTCAAAGATTGGCTCAATGAAGAAGGATAAGAAGAGGTTCAAGATTAATGTTGATATCGAAAAGAGTAGCTCAAGGGCTGTGTATAAATATTTCTCCGATAAACTCACAGAGCAAACATCTCCCGAGGTTAGTAAAGGACTATGATACTGTGTGAGTGATTAATCTTCTTTGATTGGTATATAATCATGACAGTATATGTTTTTAATCTGTGTGAGCTAGGGGGAATCTCTCAGTTTGCTATCCCCTGAAGACCAATATCGGATTGAATCAGTTCTTGATTACATTGAAGATATTGATCTTCGACGATGGAGATTACCAGATATCAAGGCATTCAGCTTCGGTCTCAAGGACTGGCGCTCGAGGATCAACTGCATCACCAATCCTTACATGTACGAACAGGTCCGATTCTTCATTTCGATATTAGCTTGGGGGAGATGATTTGCCTGATCACGTATATATTTCCCTTTGTGAATGCATATAAATACATGAGATCTTTTTGAATATGAGCATGTCAGTGAATTGTTTCATGTCTTTAATGTTGTAGTTGTTAAGAATAAGTTCAGCGGATCTCATTGCTTATGGGAATTCGTATTTTTCATCTCGGCTTGTGGAAGCAAAGAAACTGCTGAAGCTGAATAAAGCTATCAGGATCAGATTGGGAAGAGGGCTCTATGGAGAGTGCCTGGTAATTGCTTTTGCTGCATCAGAATCCTTCAGTTTCAAAAAGCACCGATGATTGAGCCAAACTTGATCTTGTTTTTACGTATAGGGAATGCGCGCAGATGGTAACCATCAACTAAGCGATGAACTTGGCAAGCTACTTAGTCTACAAAGTGCTGCAGCTGGTTTGAGGTAAGTTTAAACTTCCTTTCCTTATGATGCTTCTGCTGTTATGAAGAATTGCTGATAGTGATTTCGTAAAACATCTCAGGCCAATAGGAGCTGTGACATTCATGCAGCGGAATAATCTCAAAATGTGCTTGAGAAGTACCGACGATGTAACGGATACATCTGAAGTTGCTAAGGTTTGTTTGTTCCGGATATCTGAGTGTAAATTTTTGTTTGCTGGTTTTAGTGACCAATTACACTTACATATATTCAATGTTTTATATTTTGGTAAAGGCTTATGGAGGAGGTGGAACTTCTTGTTCAAGCTCGTTTATCATAAGAATGGATGAATATAATCAGTGGATTGCGAGGAATCGAACATGAGAACACTCCTCATCGACCAATTCCAAAGCTCTCGTCTCTGAGATTTTGGCATTGTGAAAGACATAAAGACTCCAAAGTCAAATATCCAGTGAAAAGTTTGGTGGTTGATCACAAAGGGCTGGTAAAGTAACTAATGAAGAAGAGGGGAGAAGAAGAACTTTTGAGTTTGTTGCCTTTCTTGAGCCGATTTTGTTTTCGGTAAAGGGTAACCTAAACCGGCCTTGCATTCCGGTTCGGTTTTGGTATGATTACGGTTTTGTTCTCTTTGTTAAGCCGGTGAGATCGAACGGCTCATAGGAAAAAAAACTGAAAAAGTACAAATGTAGACTTTTTTTGTATAAAACGTTCTCTTATCAGTCTATTTTTGGAAATAAATTTCAGTACAATCTATTTCTAAATTGTTAAAGCGAATGAAATAGCGATTCTCTGTCTTCCACGCGGCAACAGAACGTCCGTTTACTTTGTCCAAACTCACTCTGTTCGAGCCTCGAAACGACGTCGGTCTTAAGCGTTGTGTATTTTTTTAGTTGAGCATATTTTATCGTCGTCGACGTCGAGAAGTATCACCGCCTAGAACCTTCTCTCTTTCTCTAGAAATCTCTCCCCTAAAGGAACTATCGTCTACCTTCAAAAACCCAAAACCCTAAACATACACAGACTCAATTTCATTCGCATCATATTGCATCTTCCTAACTGATCTATCGCCTCTTGAATTTCAAACCATGGCTACCGCCGCTCTCCTCCGTTCAATTCGACGCCGTGAAGTCGCTTCAGCTCCTTTCTCAGCTTACAAATGCGTGAGTATTCTAACCACACGATCCAAATTAAAATTTCAATTGAACTAATCAAGTGAATCCTGATTTACTCATTTGATATGGTTCAATTCTTGCAATTTTGGAAAAATTCCCTCTGCCTGATCTGATCGATTCTATTGCAGATTTCAAAGAGCGGGAAATCATCATTCAAAGCTTCTTACATGAGAAGCTTTTCAAGAGCATTCAGGTATCGATCTTTTTACTTCTATATTTGGTAGCACCAATATCTTGGTATGCTTCTTTTCTAATTTTTTCTTCTACTTGATTCAGCTCCAAGCCTGCTGGAAACGATGTCATCGGTATAGACTTGGGTACTACTAATTCCTGTGTTGCAGTCATGGAGGGGAAGGTGAGATTGTGATCATATATGGTTTTTGATATTTGAGCTTTTGAAACAATTGAGCTAACTTTATTTCTGTATTAATCTGATTTGTAGAATCCGAAAGTCATTGAAAATGCCGAAGGTGCTCGAACCACACCATCAGTTGTGGCTTTCAACCCAAAAGGAGAGCTTCTCGTGGGTACACCAGCGAAGCGACAAGCCGTCACTAATCCAACAAACACGATATTCGGAACGAAGCGTTTGATTGGGAGAAAATTCGACGACCCGCAAACACAGAAAGAGATGAAGATGGTGCCTTACAAGATTGTGCGTGCACCTAACGGCGATGCGTGGGTTGAAGCCAATGGTCAGCAGTATTCTCCTAGTCAGGTTGGAGCGTTTGTGCTGACAAAGATGAAAGAGACAGCCGAAGCTTACCTTGGAAAATCAGTCAAGAAAGCTGTCGTCACTGTCCCTGCTTACTTCAACGATGCTCAGAGGCAAGCAACTAAAGATGCTGGTAGGATCGCTGGTCTTGAAGTCGAGAGGATTATAAACGAGCCTACAGCTGCTGCTCTTTCCTATGGGATGACCAACAAGGAAGGTTTGATTGCTGTGTTTGATCTTGGTGGTGGGACTTTCGATATATCTGTTCTGGAGATTTCTAACGGCGTTTTCGAGGTATTATATCTCTCGAGTGATTTGTGTTTGTCAGGTCTTTTTTTTGAGGATCGTTCTTAATATTAAATTGCTTCTCTTTCTTTTTTTCAGGTGAAAGCCACCAATGGTGATACTTTCTTGGGAGGAGAGGATTTCGATAATGCTCTGCTAGACTTCCTGGTAAATGAATTCAAGACCACTGAGGGAATAGACCTCTCCAAAGATAGACTTGCTCTGCAGAGGCTTAGGGAAGCTGCTGAGAAAGCGAAGATTGAACTATCATCAACTTCGCAGACTGAAATCAATCTGCCGTTTATCACAGCTGATGCTTCTGGGGCAAAGCATTTCAACATCACCCTAACACGGTCAAGGTTTGAAACTCTGGTGAATCACTTGATTGAGAGGACCCGTGATCCTTGCAAGAACTGTCTCAAGGATGCTGGTATAAGTGCTAAGGAAGTCGATGAGGTTCTCCTTGTTGGAGGAATGACCCGTGTTCCCAAGGTACAGTCTGTTGTCTCGGAGATCTTTGGAAAGACTCCTAGCAAAGGTGTCAATCCTGACGAGGCTGTTGCTATGGGAGCTGCCCTTCAAGGTGGTATCCTCCGTGGTGATGTCAAAGAATTGCTGCTTCTAGATGTCACGCCTCTGTCGCTCGGTATTGAAACACTTGGTGGTGTCTTTACAAGACTGATTGGCCGAAACACAACCATCCCCACGAAGAAGAGTCAGGTATGCCTGCAAAGATTTGTCATTATATTCTGATTGAAAACCCACCGAGTAACTAGGAAAGATGAACTCTGACGAACTAGGACACTAAGAGGCATCTATTAGAGTTTGTCTATAGTCACTTAGCTAGGCATTTTCGAGTTACTCCTCATGGCAATGATCCTACATGGTTTCACTCTTTATGAGTTAAGGGTCAAAGCACAGTCCTGTGACATGCTAATTTATGCTCCCATCGTGTTTTGATCAAGTTTTTACTAAAATGTTGATTCTCTCGTTCTTTCTTTTGAAGGTGTTTTCAACTGCAGCCGACAATCAGACACAGGTTGGGATCAGAGTGCTTCAAGGGGAGCGTGAAATGGCTGCAGACAACAAGCTGTTGGGAGAATTCGATCTAGTGGGCATTCCACCATCACCAAGAGGCATCCCTCAGATTGAAGTAACATTCGACATTGATGCCAATGGCATTGTCACTGTTTCCGCCAAGGACAAGACGACTGGTAAAGAGCAACAGATCACAATCCGATCCTCCGGTGGGCTCTCAGAGGATGATATCCAGAAGATGGTGAGAGAAGCAGAGTTGCATGCTCAGAAAGACAAAGAGAGAAAAGAGTTGATCGACACTAAGAACACAGCCGACACAACCATTTACAGCATTGAGAAGAGTCTTGGTGAATACAGAGAGAAGATCCCGAGTGAAGTCGCCAAGGAGATTGAAGATGCTGTGGCAGATCTAAGGAGCGCTTCGTCTGGAGATGATCTCAATGAGATTAAGGCTAAGATCGATGCGGCAAACAAAGCTGTTTCAAAGATCGGCGAGCACATGTCTGGTGGCGGTTCTGCACCAGGAGGAGGATCTCAGGGAGGCGGCGATCAAGCTACAGAGGCAGAGTACGAGGAAGTGAAGAAGTGAAGAGTCTGCGTAAATTCTTGTCAGTTGGGTTAAAAGATTAGGTTAGATCATGGTTGGTTCTGTCTCCAAGGAACTTTTTGCCTTTAAGAACAATGAGCAATGGATCTGTTTCTGAAATAAGCTTTTGTAGTGAATGAAACCTCTAATGTTTCACTATTAAAACACTAATGTTTCTTTATTTAACACAAAAACGTTTGAAACTTCATCAACTACATAATACTCCGGTTTTAAAGTTCCTTTACTTTGCAAGTAACCAAGTATGAGACCAAATAACGAAATAGAATCCAGCTTAGAGGAGAGTCTATCACAATCAAACCCGTAAGTTAGATAGATGTTTTGTTATTTAACTCGTTGTATTCTTTTTGTCTCCTACCACTGAAAACTACCTTAAAAGCCATCAAACATAAGATGAATTCAGATTTACATATCGGCGCACTTGACAAGAAAAAAGAGATTTACATATTCACGCACATGACAAGAAGGAAGAGGGAATATAGATCTCTAGAACCAGCAAACAGAACGAGCATGAATAACATCAAAACAGTTATCCATATTCTCGGCGATAAGATCAAATAATGTTTAGTCTCTACTATTAATTTGCACTACTATACATTTTTCATGTCTAATGGCTCAATCTATGATTGCATTGCCTCCTATCTGACTGTTATTCAGTAGGTTAAAAACTACTTTTCTTAATCCATCATCAAAGCAAGTTTAAGAAAAGCATGTGGTAATCAAAATGGGGATGATTTGGGTTTTTCTGGACAATTGGTTCACTTTCTAGTAGTAAGACAGTTTGTGTCGTCAAATGACGATGAGATTTGATTTTGCATCAATAACAAGCCGATGAGATTCTCATTGACTGAGTTTCATCTTGGCACTAGATTACCATGTTTGATAAAGAAGATAAAATCCTAGTAAATTTGAGTGTAATTGACCTTTATTGTTGTTTGACAAATACCATTCTATATTATCAACTTGCACTAAAACCACACATTTTCCATCCTTGACATATATGGAATAATGATTTAATTAGAAACGTATATATCATATAAAATAATGTTACATTATATTATTTATTATGAATTCTACATAAATAAACCAATAAATATATCCAGAGTACTAAGCTTTAATTCACCAAATTAGTTTATTTTAAATTTTACGAATAAATTCAAAAATTTAGTTTTGAAATCGATAATATATTTTAGTTTCCATAATAAAAACATAAAATGAATTGACATACATTGAATAAATAGAATGGAATCATTTGTAGTCTATATAAAACATTGAATTTTCAATTACAATGATTATCAATTTTACAAAATTAATCCGTTTAAAAAGTTCAAAACATGCGATAAATAAACTTTTTTATGTTTATCTAATAAAATTATTAGTTTATAACAGTTTTTTTAAGATTAAATATGTATATAGAATCTAAACATGAGATAAAATACACATCATAAACACCATACGTTTAGCTCACTGTCCGATAACATCTATGAAATACTGACTTTAAAATCCATATTCAGCCCATATTCGGCCCATACTGGTTTACGTAAAAGATAAAAAATTGTAGTACACGAATACGTCGCTTCGGCCGAGTGGTAAAGGCGTGTGCCTCCTAAGTTTTTACATTGGAAGTTCGAATTTCGGATAAAATTGGGGGAGGATTGTAATTTACTAGTTTAACCCTCCAGTTTAATTTATTTTGTCACTTTTTCTTTTCGACATTTTTTTTGTTAATTAGGGTCTCTTGATTTAGTCGAGATTCCAAATACTGGTTCGGGCTTCTCGAGTTTTGGCAGGAAGAAAACTAGAGATACTGATCTGATTCACTCGATGGCTGCCACGGCTCTTCTCCGATCGATTCGCCGACGCGACGTCGTCTCCGCGCCTCTTTCCGTCTACAAATCTGTATGTTTATTTACTCGGTTGATTGCGTCTTTCTGATGAAGTAGTTGATAGATCGAGAATTTCGGATTCGTTTGATTTCGTTTTTCATTTCCAAAATTATCATCTCAGTCATGCTTCGTTTCGCGGGAAATAGTCAGGGGATTACGTTGATTTGCAGATTTTTGGTGTATTATGTGTTTAATCGTCTCATATAAAAAATCGAGAACACGAGATTGTTTTAGGTAGAAATTTGTATAGCCTCTTCTGGAACAGAAATGAACATCGAAATAATCTTACTACTGCTAGCATTCTATGAAATCTGTGCTTCTGGTTCATTGTAAAAAGCTTGCACTTGCAAAAATATTGGGATGAAGAAGACGATAGTTAGCTTCATATTACTTTTGTATTTGGGCGCTTGATAAGAATCAAACAGTATGAATACAGAGAGTGTTTTCTTAACCGCTCTTGAAACGTTCTTGTTTGCAGCTTGCTGGTAATGCTCAACCTTCATTGGGTAGTTCATACACTGGTCAAAACTATGCAAATCTGTGTAGAGCTTTCGGGTATGTATCTTTTGTTTCATGGGATGTAAATACCCACAGAATCACTCTGTAGTTTGCGCTTTTGAATATTGTGTCTTTTTCTTTATAGATCGAAACCTGGTGTGAATGACATTTTTGGGACTGGTTTGGGATCTACCAACACAAGCAATACCATTAGAGAGGAGAGAGAGGTACGATGACTCTGTCAACATTTTGGGGGTTTTCTTCTTTCTCCTTTGTAGTATTTCAGAGCAGCTTAACTTATGCCTGTGCTTGGTTGATCCTTATCTCAATTCTTCTAGCATTCAAAAGCAACCATGAATGCAGTTGGAGCTCATTTGCGAGCTCTTGGTGTGGGAACACCAAGACGCATGTTGTCTACAATCTCAGGCGGTATAAAGATGACAGAGGAGAAACAGAACTCTCCAAAAGTCCAAAGCTTTCGCCCTCTATCTCCTCACCTTCCTGTTTACCAGCCTCAGATGAACTCCATGTTGTCGATTTTCAACAGAATCTCTGGGGTTTACTTGACCGGAGTCTTTTTCGGCGGCTACCTTCTCTACCTGAAGATGGGTATGATTTGCCTCACCTACCCGAGTTTCTACCAAGTTCTTTTCCAGGTACAGCACCAACTTCCGGTCATCACCTCGGTTACTGCACTAGCCGCGCTCTACCATACCATCAAGAGTACTCACTCGCTCTTGACTCATTAAAAACCTTTCCCAAAGCTTGAAGAATTGCTGGTTAAAGCCGCCAAAGTCTCCAGTAAGAGTTTCTTTGAGATGAGCAAAGATTAATAAAGAGAGAAAGAAACGTTTGTCAAACTCTCATTTGTCTTTGAGAAAGTAAGGTCCAACTTTTGTTTTGGGATTTTAGGCTTTTTAAAAGGTTTATGTTTATTTGCTTTTCTTTGTTCTCAGACCTATTTGAAGTGGTTGACTCTGTTTTGTTCGCAATAAATTCCCCGTTCGGTTGTTATGCCAGTTTAACCAATGTCATACGTTTTGAAAGGGAAAATACAGAGCCAAAACTGTATATTGTTTCGAAGTTCAAGAACATTTGTGTAAATTAAATTAAATACGAATTTACGATCTTTTGTATTTAATTACAAAACCAATCAAAATCAAACCGTATCCGAACCGAAACCAAACTCAAACTGAATTGAATTAGAACGATAGATTCAACACGAATTCGATATTCCAAATCCTTACCGGAAAAGGAAAACATTTCCAATCCCGATGTGACATAGGAGCTCACACCTAGTCCAACTCCAAACATACCAACTCTATTTCTTATATAAAACAAATTATCACAAACAATTTGTCAATCACAATCTCTTTTTTTACTCTCTAGCTAGGTCTTCATCACATCCCCTGTTTTCTTGCAATCCAAGCTATGTCGAACCATGATGGCAAAAACCCAATGCCGTACCATGAGGGCGAAGGCCCTATGTTCGCCGCTTTCAGGAATCTTAATCTCAATAGCAACAATAACCGGTTCGAACGAGGAAGTTCTAGCAACAGCAACATACATAATCTCAACCTTTATTTTAACCTTGATCAGAATTCTCAAGAACGTTCTCGTCTCTCCGCCGGTGGCTTCAGAGTTCCTCCGTCCCCTCCGTCGTCGTGGATCACCCAACCAGGTGCTTCTTCCTCCATCAACTCCGGCCAACCCTTGGCCCATCCTCAGAGTTTTGTGAGGCCAGATCATGTATCGCTATGTAGCCTGGTGAACATGATGACGTGTCCAATACGTTACCCTCAATTCCTAGGGCTCCTCAGAAGATTTGATACCTACGAAGCAGGTGAACGGGAGAGGAGATTGTTACATATCGGGTCAATGTTAACCACAAACCACTCCACTTTCCTCGATGTGGCCACAAACAGAAACGGGTCTATGGCCTTACGAACCCTCCTTCAACGCAGCCCTAGCTTAGATAAGTTCATATTCAAAGCTGTCTGCATGAACTTCTTCTCGCTCATGAGCAGTAAGTACGGTCGTTTCTTGATCGTCCCCACTATACGAGCCGTCGATAAACCCAGGAAGGAGATCATATACGAGCTAACGTACCACAACACTCTGACACTTGCGAGAAACGACGTCGGATGTGTTGCACTGAACGATGTGTTTCAAGAGATTAGAGGCATATTCAGAGACCAAATCTTCGACCTTGTCGCGCAGGAAGCGCAGTGGTTATCTTTTGATCCTTACGGAACTCACGTGGTGCAGAACTTTCTGACACTTCAGAACCCGTGTGCAACACAAGCAATCGCCGAGAATCTTTATGGAAGTTTCTTCTTATTAGCGAGAGTGAGACAAGGAAGCTATGTGGTGGAGAAGTGTCTGAAGTCGGAGTTTGGGAGAGAGAAAGTGTTGGAGGAGTTTAGAGGGAATTATAAAGAATGGGTAAGAATGGCGAATGATAAGTTTGGCAACTTTGTGGCACAGTGTGCGTTGAAAGTAATGAAGCAGGGAGGAATGAAACAACTGTTGAGGGAGTTTGTGGAGAAGCTACGACCTCACTTTCATGAGATGGAGATTGGGCATGGGAAGAACACGCTGAGAGTGATTGAGGAAGAAATTCAAGAATTTATTCTTGACTTTCCAGATCCTCTGCTGGGTTTTGTGTCTTAAGTGCTTTTCTTGTTATTAAGGTTGGTTTTCTCATGTTTTAGACTTTTAGTCGATCGTAATTGTATTACGGATTTTTTATTTTATTTAATGGGATTTTTGGTTATTTATTTATTTATATGTCACGGCTTCACGAAATGATAGACTTCCTATTTAGTACTTGCCACAAGCCAAACTATCATCACTTCCCGAAATTATTCTCATTTAGTAGTATCAAATAAAGAAACAATGTCGAACCCTTTCTCAACGGTTTGAAAGGCTTATAATATTGGGTCAGAACTTTGGGTTTTGGACTAAATTCTTCTTCTTGCTTGTCCATGGATTTCTTCTTTTGACAACGCAAATTTGAATAATTGGGTCCACTAGAAAAAGAAATCAAGAAATAAACTTGAGAAGACAAATTTGGGAGCAAGAGGAAGAACACAAAATCAATTTGAATCCTAATGACAAAGACAATATAGGTTTTACAAGGACACCTGTTTCTTGATTGAGACATGTAATTAATTTGGCAACAAAATAATAAGGACAAGAGACTTTAGATGATCAATGTCAATGATAATGACAATAAAATGATTGTCCCCAAGTAAAAATAAAAATTGGATGATAATACAAACAGTGGGTCACGTGAATTAGTTAGTCAGTGTGAGAGTGAGCGCTTTCATCTTTTTAGATCCAATGCTCTCTCACCTAACACCTTTTATTTTTATTCTCACACAACACATGTCTATACTATTTAAATTATATTTTGGACAACTTTTAAAAAAAATGGCAGGAAACATAAAGGAAATCGATTTCTAGTCCTAATCAATAAAATAAATCAGATGGATAATAAGCATATGGTGGCAATTATGACCATTTTTGCTCTTTACAACTTCAAACTTCAGCTCAACTAATTCGTCAGTAAAAATACGTAACTATCAAAGTGGGTAAAGGCGCAAAAGCTATAGAAGCTTAATATCATTCAGTGGATGGACAAGACGAGGAGAGCAAGTGGTCCAAAAGCATACTTATTAGATATTAAAACAGAGCACTAAAAAGAGTAACCCAAAATATCAAAAGTTTCATCAGAAATCGAGTTTCCAATCTGATGATCTAAAACACTTTTACATATATTATCAAGTATTTATAAACTGATGATAATAAGAATCTGATCATACAACATTTACCTCAACATCACTCACACCAAATCTGGACTTTGCGGCACTTTTGGTGCACTGTTAACCGCCACTTTCCCATCCGGTCCGGTTCTCGTATCGGTCATTCCACTAACCGGTTGACCCATTCCCTGGTACTGCGGCTGAGGCGGTTGCACCATCATGCCGTCTCCAGCCACCGTGTAGTACACAGGATTCCCCATCTGTGAATACGGCGTCGTTTCCTGTAAACCGGTTGGACCAACACTAGTCATAACTTGTGGACCACCTGAATACGTTGGCTGTGGTTGAACCACGTTGTAACCACCCAGCTGGTTCTGCTGCTCCACGTATGCATCAGGGTGATGATGCTGAAGTCCCTGAACAGTTGGGTAATAGCCTTGGTTTCCTTGCGCCGGTGGTCTCATCACGCTATGGTATAATGTCCCTGGAGCTTGAGACTGAGCTGGAATCATGTATACTTGCTGCTCCGGTAGATTCTGTGACGTTGTTGTGTAGACGCTGTTCCCTGGCATGTTGTTATTTCCTTGCCAGTAGCCGACCGGAGGTTGTGGCTGATTCGCCTGAGACACTGTTGTCGGCGCCGGATTTTGAGCGTATGTTGGAGTGAAGTATCGTCCGGTTTCCATGAGTGCCGCCTCTTCGCTCTTTCTTCTGTACATAGCCTCCTGTTGTTGCTGTTGCTGGAGCTGATGTTGCATCTGCTGCTGCTGCATCTGTTGCATCTGTTGTTGTTGTTGTTGTTGCTGCTGCTCTTGCTCTCTGATTTGAATCCTCTGAAATTCATGGATTTGTCTTTGAATCTCCGCCGGATTCATGCCGTGATCCGGTTGTAACACCTGCTGATTTGCGAACATCGGCGGTTCAAGAGCCACCGGATCCTGAATCTGTTGAGGCACCATCACGGCTGATGGCGAAGGCGGAGCTGGATGAGCTACTTTCTCCGATCCAAACAAGAAGTCGGCATTATTGGGATGAGCGGTTACGGATTTCTCCGATTCGGGTCGGCTAGGGATTGGGTTTAGCGTTACCCGTTCCGATTTGGTCGAGCCCTCGGAGCCAAATCCGCCGGAAATAGGAGAAGGCGGGAAGAGGAACAGACGCATCCTCGCTGGCTTAGAAGACATACGGAGCAGCCGGTCGTACTCGTGCATCATGTGCTCGAGATCGTCATCGTTGGTCACTGATATCAACGCATCGAGATCTTCACCTGGAAGCTGATACTTAAACGAGATCTCGCCGCCATCTCCGCCGCCGCATACGGCGGAGAGCTTCGACACCAAAACGGGAAATCTGATGCCGCGGTCGACGGACATGATTTTGGTATCGCCGTTAACGTAGGTGAGCTGGTTATCGTGGGGACGCGGCTGGATCTTGCCGCCATAGCTGCACATGAACTTCACCTTGTAGCTATGTGACTGTTGCTGGTCCTCCCATGGCGGCGGGTTGTCAAAATCGACCTCGCGAGATCTAGGCGACGATTCAGCTGAGTCTGGATACGAGTTGTACGAGAATTTGTCCATTGCGCGAACTTTTAGAAAACGATTTTCCTCTTTCTTTCTATATTTGTTCTGAATCCATGAAAAATAGAGTCTTTGAGAGAAACTTTGGAAGAAATGGAGAAAGGACTAGTAGAGACTTGTTTTATCATGGCGGAAAAACGGTGGTGGTTTTGGAGATGCTAACGTGACAGGTCCTTTTGGCGTGAAGTCACTGGTTTATTACACGTGGCAGTTACGTATGGGTTGAACTAGAAGGTGATAAGATTAAGGTGACGGAACTGTGAGGGTAGCTGTAACTCATGGATTAGACGGACTTTTGCGGCATTTTGGTGGGTCCAGTTAGTGTTTAAATTGCGTGTTCACATTGATATGCGAGAGAACAAGCCATGGTTGAGTTTTGACTATGACTATTACTTACTTTAATTAATCACTCTTACCATTTTTATCATAACTAATTAATTAAAGAAAGGCGTTTGCTCTTTCTTCCTTGGTCCCAATGATAGTGTCTGGATAAAAAAAATCATTGCTTTTTCTGAAAGCCACCAAAAATATAGGAGAGAAATCACGTGATCTTTGCTTCAAACTTTCCCTTCCCACAACTCTCAAATTAATTTAAAATAATTCTAACAGATTCTCAAATCTAACTGTAGCATAGCCTAATCATCCTCTTATTATCTCCTTGGATTCAAGAGAAAAAATATAAATAAAACAACTAACGGCAACATAGATTATTGCTCTAACTTAGCTCCCAAGATTTACAATTTAGAACTTGCACAAGAGTCTCAATAAAGAAAGTGTTCCATGGAGAAAGAACAAAAGAAATGCCTATTTATTGAGCTGAAACGAAAACAAATTTAGAAAAAGAACTTTGGCTCTAAAGCAAAGTAATTTCAAAAGTATAGTTGTCTGCATGCTGAAGGTGAAGCCTGTGCAGGACAAAAAGGGCACTTGAATCTGCGAGAGCCACGGGAGTTCTTGCTGAGCCTCACGATAGATTGCTTGCAAAGAACATGACGACAAGGCATCATCATTGGCGGATTTTCTTCAGTGCTCTCTTCTCTACTCACCGGACAAACAAACACCGAGTGGAACTGAAACTCATTCTCTATCTCCAGATCTATCGGAAGCTGTTTCATCGCTTCCCACTCTTCTTTCTCCAAACACAAGACATGAATCAGCTTCAAAAGTTTCGGCAAGCTCCCTAACCCCGCGGATAACGCGACTGCCAACGGAGACTTAGATGGCTGATCCAGGACATGGTAATACTGCTTCGTTAGCTCTTCGGTTACCTTTTCGCAACATAACGAAGAAATCATCTCTGCGTAAGGAGAATTCTCGAGGTCTCCAGCCCATATCAGAGCAGTCATAAGCTTTTGTATCTCTTTAAAGTGAAGTGAAGCATATGGAGAGAAATGGGTTCTTGCATACTTCAACGCATCGTTACTCTTTCCTTCTCTTACCATCTCACAGTACTTCAAACTTAGGAGCTTCAGCTCCAGCTTCGAACCGTTCTGCTTCAGCTTCTCCCGGTTCGCAGAGATCCATCTCATTGCAGGCTCAATGTTTCCGAGCTTCATTGACTCGGTTAACCGGTGGATTTCTAGAGACTGAGATCTAGCCTCGGTCTCCACCTCTGCTTCAGCCTCCTTAACCAGACAATCTCCAACTTCGAACAAGCCCTGTCGGTATAAATAGTGGACAAGCATCTTAGTCATTAGGTTGGTATCGAAATCAAAGCTTCTGCAGGCTCGAGATATATCAGGATGGTGAGACTTCTCAAGAGCTTTCTCAAACTTGCCAAGACTCGTGTTCATTTCCTTCTGTGATCCTTGGAGCTGGATTATCGGTAAGAGAGAGTCGAGCTTGAGCCTCAGCTCGTTAAAAACCGATCCGGGTTCTACTCCATCGGTATTTAACAGGATCCGAATCAGTGTCTCTATGATTCCTTCACAAACTCGATCGGTGAAAACTTGGGAGACTGAGTGATAAAGCTTTTGTCTTTTAGTAACTCCGTCAAATGCATCTTTCACTGTAGAAATCAGATCCATTTTCTTCTAATTAAGCTGCAACATGCAGTTAGTTGATCAAAAGATATGCCTTTTATTCTAAGTGAGATAATGAAAATCCGAAAAGTCCACAGAGCTAAACCCTAGAATTAGAAGAACAGAAGCAATGATTCCAAATCTTGCGACTCCTAAAGTGCAAAGTTTTTATCTTTCGATCAAACTCTAACCAACTAAATTAGGAATCAATCGGTGATGTATATAGAAGAAATGGGGGAATCTGAGTAAGTAATACCGGAAAGGCGACTGAAAGTTCTTCGATTTCGGCTTCGGAATGTTCACAGAGACGAAGCGAAACACATTGAAAGAAGAATAAGACGAAATCGTGAAATTCGCCGGAATCCTTAAACCCATCAAGATTGTTAAGATTAGGTTCCTTAAAACATGGGATCACTTTCTCAAACTCTAAGCATTATCACGCACAAATAGGAACTAGAGGGCGTTGTTAGGTAGCGATATTAAAATATTGTGTTGAGATTTTATCGAATTTATATTCAAATTGAGTTACGTTGACTTTCTCCGGTCGATCTGATACTTGGTTTGGTTGTGGAGCCTTAAATTAAAGCTCCTCAATTATCCCAGTCAGTCCGGTCCGGTTAACAAAATACTGAAAAAGGCGGCAACACGCTTATTACGTAAACGGTAGCCACGTTTCGAGCACTGCGTTTGTTAATTTGGTTTTATCCTCGTACACAGTAATGAACGTGCTTTTCTTCTTTCTTCTTATTTAGCTTTTGTGGTTCGTTGATTTACAGATTCGTAAGGCATTTTTCTGTTCTAAGCGACACTTTAAGAAGCAGAGAAAATGAGAAAGCTTTACATGTCTGTGTTGTTTCTATTGAGCATCTCCTCCATTTATCATTTGGCTGATGCTTCTTTGCATGTCAAGTATCTTCCTGGTTTGAAAGGTCCTCTTCCTTTTGAGCTCGAGACTGGGTACTAAAAAATCTCTTTATTTATTCTATTTTGTCAAAACCAGAAAAATTATTATTATTTTTATAAAAATCCTTAATTTCAAACATGTGTATTTTCGTTTTGCATGTTGGTTTATTATAATAAGGTATGTGAGTGTTGGTGAATCTGGAGATGTTGAGCTCTTTTACTACTTTGTGAAATCAGAGAGAAATCCAGAAAAGGATCCTCTCATGATTTGGCTCACTGGTGGCCCTGGATGCAGCTCCATATGTGGATTGCTCTATACAAACGGTATATTATATGTAAAATGGGTCATAATAAAATGGTTTAATTGATGCATGTTCCTTGATTGGTCACACCTTGGATTTACGTTTGGAGGATTAAGACAAATCTTGGAGTTTAAAACTTGTTTATTTTATTTGGTCAGGCCCTTTAGCTTTTAAAGGGGATGAGTATAATGGGACACTGCCTCCTTTAGAGCTAACATCTTTTTCATGGACAAAGGTGAGAGAGATCATTACACTGACGTTTATGATTCTCTCTTTAATAGTAGCTAGCAACATTTTGCTTCTAAAGGGGATGAGTATATAATATATACTCTTTTTTTTTTTTTTTTCAGGTGGCTAACATTTTATATGTGGAATCTCCTGCTGGTTCTGGATTTTCTTATGCCAGAACTCAGCGTGCTTTTAAGTCGAGCGATACCAAACAATTTCACCAAATCGACCAATTCCTCAGAAGTGTTAAGAGTGTTCTTTATTGATGTTTTTATTGATTTCTTTCATTTTTTCTTTACCTTTTTTTTTTTTATCTAAGTGTTTGGTCATGCTTTTACTTGCAGTGGTTTGTGGATCACCCTGAGTTTATATCGAATCCATTTTACGTTGGTGGAGATTCATATTCCGGGAGAATTGTTCCAGGAGTTGTGCAACAGATTTCACTTGGTATGTTAATGTTATGTTTAACACACTTATGCTTCCGTGTATTTGAGACCAAAATATTATAAAATCACATTTTACAATATGAATACAGGAAATGAGAAAGGTCTCACACCACTCGTTAATATCCAGGTATTAATCAATAATACTGACCTACTCTATCAATTTTTGTTAAAATTGGGGATTAATAATACCTTGCTAAAAATTTGAGCAGGGATATGTTCTTGGAAACCCTTCGGTAGGTAGCAAATTTGAAATTAATCATCAAGTTCCGTTTGCTAATCGGATGGGACTTATTTCAGATGAGCTCTTTGAGGTACTCTTTCTCTTCACCATCAATGATGTGCATGATTCTTGTGAGTTGTGACATTTATGGTTTGGTTACAATTATTTTGTTTTCACTAATTTTTTGCAGTCACTTGAAAGAAGTTGTGGAGGCAAGTTCTTCAACGTAGACCTGAGTAATGCAGAATGCTCAAATGGTCTTGAAAATTATCAGCAGGTAAAGATGAATTTATGAATACAAACACACCACTTTAGTATCTAAATGTTTCTTTTCCACAAACTAACTTGTCTTGTTTGTCTTTGAGTTTTTAGTGTATCTCAGAGATATACAAAGAGAATATTTTGTTACCAAACTGCGAAGTAGATTACGTCATACCACCAGAAACCTTACAAAACATCAGAATCGGTAAAAGACGAGTAATGAAGGAGTTTTCAGGAAATGATTCATCAGCATTGCCTCCTCGTAGCTGCTTTGTAAGTTTTCTCTTTTTCTTTTTTGGTTTTTTTCTATATTCATAGAGTTTCAGAAATTCTGAAATCTTACATGCATCGTCCTCTCAGACTTATAAGTATTTTCTGTCTGCCTTTTGGGCAAACGATGAAAATGTACGCAGAGCTCTAGGCGTGAAGAAGGTACCTCTTGTGTTTCTTTTTTTTTTTTGTTCTTCTTCTAAACAGATCATAATAAACATTTAAACGCAACTCTTATTCACTAATTCATAATCTTATGCAGGGATTCCGAAGATGGAGTCGATGCACCACCCAGTATCTACCATACACATATGATGTTCGCAATGCCATTCCGCATCTTGTGAACATTAGTCGTAAAGGCTTCCGCTCTCTCGTCTACAGGCAAGATTAATATTTGCTCATCTGTCTTTTTCTTTTTTTTTTCATGTGTTCATTCTTTGAAATGGTAAATAAGTCAAAAACTCAATTTTTTTGGAAGTTTTGGAACAGTGGTGATCATGATATGTTGGTACCTTTCTCTTCAACGGAAGCATGGATAAGATCTCTTAACTATTCCATTGTTGATGCTTGGAGACCTTGGATGATTACTAGCAATCAAGTCGCTGGGTAAAACAAACACCATTGTTTTTTCATTATTTCCTCCTAAGTTATCTTATAACGCATGCACTTCAATTTTATTTTATCTATCCCTGTTTGTAGATATACGATGACTTATGCCAATAAAATGACATTTGCAACCATCAAGGCAATATTTTCTAAACCCTTTCTTCTTCTCCAAATTTTGTTTCAAAACAAAAGTTACATAGGAAGAGTTTTATTGTGTGATCTACTGCAGGGAGGAGGACACACCGCTGAGTATAGTCCAGACCGATGCTCACTTATGTTCAAAAGATGGATTGATGGAGAATCTCTCTAAGATGCTCTCTCACTCACTTCTCTCTCCCTCTCTCTCTCTCTCTCTCTCTCTCTCGCTCAAAAGTTTCATGCGTTGTTGTTGTTCTACCTGAAACTATAATTTCTGTAATCGAACGTCCAACTTTGTTGCTTTTTGGGGGACATGTCCTTTCTTCACTTCTTATTGTGCTTTCAGTTTAATCTATAAATCTGATGCCTACCTTTGTGTTGTTGCGCTCTTTAAAAAAAAAAAGCTCTGTGCCAACTCACAAAGCCTGTTTCCAGAGGCTTAAACTTAATAGTAATACTGTCTTTTTATTATTTCTCAAAACAAAATCTCTTTTGAAAGAAGAACAAGAATGATGAGTCTGTTAATTATTCGAGCTCAGAAAAATGGAAATTCCAAGATTACGTTTCAACTGTTCAGAAAAGTGAAAGGTCTCCAGCATCAACTGATCTCTTCACCAGTTTAGCCCATGATTCATTTGTTTCATGGATGATCTTCAAAGCATAATCCTGTTAAGAAACAAACAAAAACCAGTAAGTGTATAGCTCCTCTCAGTTTTAATACTAAACATGAAACAGCACACAACCAGAGAAACAAAAAGGGAACTTAGAACTTACTTTGTTTGCTGGTTTGTCTCCAAGACCAAATCTGTTAGCAGGCTTTCCATCTGGGATCTTGTAGTCTCTAAACCAGTCTCTAATCGCTGTTAGTGTACCCTGATAACCAGATTCAAGGTCAAAAAACAAAACCCATATCAAACATATTGGGGGATTGCTTTCAACTAGATTAGCTCGTACCGGGAAATGTTTCTCAACGTCTTCAACATCATTCACAAGATGAGCTTTTGGGTCATCCAAAGAAATAGCAACAATCTTCCAGTCTAGCTCTCCTTCATCAATCATAGCTAAGGCAGCCAAAGGCTTGATTTTTAGAACCTCGCCTATCTTCCTTTGGGTTTCACCAATCTCAACAACATCAACTACAATAAAAAACCAAGAATAAACATCAGCACACTTTTTTGTTCCAAATGATAACACCAGTAGATGAAACAAGTATCCCAGGTTTACCTGGATCATTATCCCCAAATGCTCCTTCAACATCAGAGTTTGCCTGAGTTGGATCTTCCCATGTCTGTGGAAGCAACCCATAGTTCCAGTTTATGTTGTACCTGTATAAATCCAGTAGTAGCGGAGATAAGTCACTGTTTGCATCCTATAACGAATCGTAACTCAGAAAAAATGGGCCAACTTGTCATCAATAGATGCAGAAGCCTCATGAATATTTTGAAGGAAGACGTCTGACTTACGGATAATATCTGAGCTTTCCCTTCTTAGTGTCTTGCTTAATAGGAGTGAAATCTTCATCGGTAGCAACCTCCATTTTTGCTTTTGACTCTTTAGGAATTTCAACTATAAAGTTGAAAACTCCATCTCCTAAGGTCAATGGAATATCATGCCATGGAGAAACCTATACACAGATGCTTACAATCCTTATCCCGCCTTTAACAAAAGCACAGAACAGAGTTGACGAACAAAAGCCTTTTCCGAAGAAAATTCACAAATGCAGATTTTGAGAAACAATCTCAGAGAAAAATTCTTCATTGCATAGGCAAATCAAACCACCAGAGTATTCCAAATAACAATGTAATATATACCAAAACTCTGAATTTCAAATAAACACATAATCCATTTCCTAATATCTGTCTCAGTAACCAAGCTTGAACACAGAAGAGAGTGATGAATCACAAGCATTTGATAGCAAATTCACAATGTAGATCTTTAGAAACACTGATTGAAATCTCAGAGAAGATTTATCGGTGACCAAATCTAACCACGGTAGTATTCCAATTAACAATGTGAAAGATCCCCAAAAGTCAAAATTTCGGTAAAACAGAGAAACCAAGTTTCGATTTGAACAGAGAGAGACACAAAACGAAGGAGAAGTAAGAAAGCAAAAAGATAGGATACGAAAGTTAACCTTCTTTCCGGAACCATCGAGGAAGAAGACCCGATAATCTAGGGATTCGGGTTGACCTTCTTCTTTAACCTTAACCTGAGGATTGTATATCGCACTGCAAGAGAAGGGTCGCTTCGATTTCAAAACCAGAGCTCTTCTGTTGAAGCATAGGCCGCCAAATCCGCCGCATGATTTCTTCGCCGGCAGAAGGAAAGCTCGTTTGGCGAGGAAACAGGAGGTGGTTTGGGTTGCGACCGCCACTGCACTAATCACTCTTGTGGCCGCCATTATAGTGGGAAGATTGAAAATGGTGGCCTTTAGTTTTGACTCGCTGTCTCTCTCCTTTATTCTTTTGACGGAGCAGACAAAAGCAATTAAAAAATAAAATTTTAGGATTTGGTTCACAAAAAAAACGAAGAAGAGCATAGAGATCACGTGGGTTTTGTATGGTTGGTGTTACCAACTTTAATAATATACGTATAAATAATTAAATTTTCGGAGATGATAACGTAAAGGTTTCGTGGTGTAGTTGGTTATCACGTCAGTCTAACACACTGAAGGTCTCCGGTTCGAACCCGGGCGAAGCCAAATATTTTTATCCATTTTCAATTTTTATACACCTTCACAAGAAAAGACATTGATCTTCAAATCACATAGATAAGTGCGTTTAAAGAGGCCACAGTGTTACAACACACAAACTGATAAAAAAGGAATTTACAAAGTTGAAAGAAGCAGAAGGACACAGGCATATAATGAGTACATATGATCAAATCATTTTAGGAAGAAGATCTTATTGTCTCTCTCTCATTATTCTCTCAATCTTCATTTTCTGATGAAGTCCACACCTTTCTGAATACTTCCTGCTAATTCTTCTTTTGCTTTCTCCAGACCAACCCTGTAGATTGTGAAATCATTCAGAACAAAAATAAGATTATTAAGATAAAGATTTCTCTATTCTTTATTTTCTAAGAGAATGTCTCAGACCTTTCGTATTCGTTCAAGGGCCCAAGCTGATAAACTTCCTCTGCTCCTGTACGGCCAAGACGCACTTTGGTTGCAAAGAAAGCTAATTCTGTCACCTGTCGTGTGTGTTTAATTAAAAGCGTCAGAGAATGAATTTTTTTTTTCATTAAAAGATGAAAAAACTGAAAATCCTTTTTCAGGATTCACACACCTGTGAAGCAACGAAAGAGCATTCAACGACATTCGCATCACCTCTTAACCCTCGAAGGCAAGCATCTGCAAACTTTGCTGCAGCATATGCCTGTAGTAGTAGTAGTACAACATTCCCTTATGGATTCAGGACATTGTTCAAGAGAAGAACCAGTAGTTGATGATATGTTCTGTTTTTCTTACCATTGAAAGTGTTGCAGATCCTGCTCCAGCTTTTGCCTCCACAACTTCAGTCCCACCGTTTTGAATCCGGTTTGTGAGGTAATCAATTTCTGAAGGTGTGAAGCTGCTTGGAGGCTTAACCTGAGGCAAAATAACAAAATATCAATTAGCACATAAGCTGATGTAATGAAGATGAACCACGCGCGTTCTATTGATATGGAAACCTGTGACAATAGTGGCAAGATTGTGACTCCCGCGTGTCCCCCAACGACTGGTACATCGACTTCTCTTGGATCAAGGCCAAGAACCTCTGCCTGCACAAGAAGGTCAAATCTTGGTGATTGAATGAAAGTCAACAAAACCAAATAATGGAGTGAGGAATGAAGTAGACTTTATTATTACCACAAATGTGTTGGCACGAGCAACATCGAGTGTAGTTACTCCAAGGAGCTTCTTGGGATCATAAGTCCCTGCTTTCTTGAAAACCTCAGCGGCAATGGCGACAGTAGAGTTCACAGGGTTGCTAATCAAGTTGACGATAGCATTAGGACAGCATTTCGCCACGCCTTCACACAGCGTCTTAACAATCCCAGCATTGATCTTAAAGAGATCATCTCGTGTCATCCCTGGTTTCCTCGGCACACCAGCTGGTATGATCACAAGATCCATACCCGTTAGGGCGTCCTCAAGCTGCTTCGGTCCCAAGAAACCGCGAACCTAACAAATGATGATCCCAAAATCAATCAAGAGCGGCCATTACTCATTCATTGGCAAGAAGACAAGTCTTCAAAGTTGAGAGAGGTTCTTACAACAGCTCCAGTGTCCATATGGCTGACGTCAGCTGTGACTCCGGGAGCATTGACAACATCGTAGAGATGAAGTAAAGAGACAAGAGGGTTCATCTTCATCAACAAGGATAGAGACTGTCCTATTCCACCTGCAGCTCCAAGAATTGCTACTTTGAATCCTGGATTCCCTCCTTTCGCTCTGCAGTTTTCTCGTCCCATTACAGAGTTCTTCGCCTCCATCTAACGATCGCTCAATCATGAAGAAGAAAAACAATCACTCTAAAGCTTACAGATTGGCATCTAATAGCATCAGAAATCTTCAGTTACTAGGAATAGAAACGAATGTCAAGTTCGTGATCGGACTAAGTATGTGTCTTGATGAAAAACTAAGAACGTTGATGAATCTGAGATGAAATCAGTTTTTTTGCGAGAGTGAGTACAAACTACTAATGTTGGTTTGGAGCATCTAACCATTGAAGAACCAAAGAAGATAACTTGACATGGGAAACCAAAAAAGGTAAAAGAAAAAACCTGAGGAGTGAAAGAAGGTTGAAGATGAGCTGATATCATAGCAATCCTCTGGTTGGCATCTCCACGAAACTCCATTGTTTGTGTTCTCTTTCTCTGCTCTCGTTAGAAAGCTGTTAAAAGAGTTTTGATTTGTATGTCAGAGAAATGAGATGACTAGAAAAATATGGGGACCAAATTGAAAGAATATGACGTAAATATTTGTTTTTTTCTTGTAAGAAATTATATGAGTTTTGATGATAAAATAATTTGTGTGGAAAGAAAATGTTGTTCATTTGTACGAAAGCCTTCCTTATCCCTTTATCTTCTTCATGTTTCACTCGTCTCTTGACCGTTGTGGCTCTCAAAATTTCCCCTTGAAAAATGATTTAGATGAAGCTATAAATGGTAGACTTAGCTACAAAGAAGCCCACCAAAGGCCCAAACGGTTTACACGGCTCGGATTTTTCCGGTTTAATTCAATTACCCCTCAAGTCGATTATTTATTAACCAAGAAGTTGTTTGACCAATGATCCCGCAAAGCTGCGGTTTATACTACAAAGAGTTTCCAACAAATGTATAAAGGATCCCCACACATTCCAAACACTTTTGAACACATTTACACAGGTTTGTGCTGAGAAGGTGAAACTTACCAAAAGAAAGCTTTCAGTTTCCATCAATGGAGGGTTGATTCAGGCTGCCACCAAGTAAAGACATTATTAGGCCGCCGCCGTGAACTCTCTCCTCCGGAATCATAAAGTCAAAGATGTTTGTTTCTCCTTCATTTGAGTTTCCTGGAGATTTCATTGATGAAGGTACAAGAACCTGCATCGGTATCATCATCTGATTCTTCTGCCTCTTCTCGAACCGCGCTCGATCAACAGAATCAGTGCACTCAGAGACGGCGCTAACTCCAGACTGAGAATGGTCAGAGGCAGAGCCAACAACAAGGCCACGAAAGAGCCCCGGTCCAATCAAACCGCTCTTGCTCCCATCTTCTTCCTTCTCCCGTGACATGATACTGTTATGCTTAGCGCAGAAACCACTCTTTCCTCTAGCAAACTTCTCGCATTTCCCATCTCCCCAAGAACAGCGTTTCCCGCCACCGTGAGCTTTGCAGAAATCAGTACTACCTTGAGCACTCTTCTCACACTCAACAATCATACAGCGTTTCCCGCCACCGTGCTTAACACAACAGTCAGTTCGACCACGCGCGCTCTTAGTACACCCGGCCACAGCACATCTTTTCCCGCCGCCGTGAGCAACACAGAAGTTAGTCCCACCATGTACGCTTTTAGAGCAGATCCCGCCTCCATCAGAGAGACAGCGTTTCCCACCACCGTGAGCTTTACACAGAGGAGTACTCCCTTCTGCTCCTTTGCTACACCCTGAGAATATACAGCGTTTCCCTCCTCCATGGGCTTTGCAGTAGTTAGTACTTCCTTGAGCTCCTTTGTCACAACCTGAGAAATACTGACAACGTTTCCCACCTCCGTGAGATATACAAAGACCAGCTTGTCCTTCAGCACTTCGTGTACAGCTTTCGACGTTACATCTTTTGCCACCGCCGTGTTTGATGCAGAGTCCAGATTTTCCTCTGGCTGCTTTGTCACATCCTTCAACGAACTCACAGCGTCTCCCACCACCGTGAGATATGCAGAAATCGGTTTTTCCTTCAGCGCTCTTGGTGCATCCCAAGTGTTCACATCTCTTCCCTCCACCGTGGGTTTTGCAGAAAGTGGTTTTACTTTCTGCACCTTTGTTGCAGCCTGGCTTTTGACATCTCTGTCCTCCTCCATGACAGATGCAAAGCCCTGTCGCTCCTCGAGCTCCTTTCACACATCCCATAAACTTGCACTTCTTCGGGTTGTAAGTCCTCTGTTGTACAGAAAACGATGTGTGAGTTGATGACTCCAGGCTCACTTGTGAATGACCATAACGAACTCCGGTTCCAAAATTATTTGAAGGGTTTCTGACATTTTCCGCCATTGGATCTAACAGAAGTGATGACATGTAGCCACCTGATCTCTTTGCAGAAGTAGAACCCTCATCAACAACAGGAACCACACGTTGTCTGCTGTTACTGATATCTGTATATGTCGACAACGAACAACCAAGTCCGCTGATAGTGTCTGGAAGACCGAGTTGCAGAACCGAGTCACCTCGTGATTGAGTGAATCCAGAAACATAATCTTTGTTGCTGAAATAGTATGAAGCTGATGTTGGACCCAATCCAAGGACCAAGCGGCAGCCATCATCAGTGCAATTAGAAACACCAGAACAGAAATGGTTTTGAGAGTCCCCTAGGCACTTCAGGCTAAGAGCGGTGTCACCCATATTGTCGCCTTTACCGTCGTTCGAATTCATACGAAGATGAAAAGGATATAGGTGAAAGAGAACTCCACAAAAAATTACCACTTAGCACATCACACTTGTAGCTATATGCATATATTGGAATAACTTGAGAGATAATAAACTTCCACCACTCACAAAGCCACATGTATCTGCCCTGTCCATCTTCAAGAATGGGGGAAAAGGAGAACTCTTCCCTAAAACCAAATAGATATTACTGGATTTCTACACCAAATTCCATGGAGATGATCAGATTCAGCTGAAAAGCAAAGAACTTTGTAGAGAATTTTCCTCGAGACCTGAATAAAATCCAGAAAGCATTAAACTAGGGAGTTCAACGAGAAGCATGAAGAGCAAAGAACATTGAAGTTTCTGAATGTGGGATAAGGATACGAGCCAGACAGAGAACAATCAAGTTGCAGTCTAAACTAATTAAGATGATTTTTTACATCTTTAATCAAATATGGTTCACACAAGAAGTAGATTTGGACATTGGTATTCAATGATATCATGTCCTCTGTAATGTTACCCAAAAATTCGGTAAGAAAGAAAGAAAAAAAGTGAAAATCACATGAGAGACGCATCAAAAGCTCCAAAGTCAACTCCTTTCTTTTTTTCTAATACAATACTTGATTAGAACCACGAGTGAAGATCCAAACACAAGATCCAAAACCTAAGAAAATACTTGTTTCCAGAGGTTTGACTTGGAAGACTGATTATTGAAAGTAGGAGAAAACACCAGAATAGTAATATTCAAACTTTTATCAGCAATTTTCTGAACAAGCCAATAAACAAAACAGCAACAACAAAAAATCACTTTGAGGAAAAGAATGATCTAACCAAAGACTCAATATATAATTACAATTTTCAGCAAACTTCACATAGCAAAGATTTCATACACGAAAAAACTGAAGACAAAAACAAAGTCTAAAGATGCTGGGTCAGACATTACTGACCAAAATTTAAACTAAAAGAAGAAATCATAACAAAACCCCCGAATGAGTGTAAGGATTGAAGAACAAGTAGTATGGATAATTAAATTCAGAAGAGTTAAATATACACAAAACAGCCACACATTCTAATTAGACTCCGATCAAGCAAATCAATGAAAACCCATTAACAAAATGAATTAGAAAGCATGAAGAAGAGAATCAAAGACCTGGTGGATCTGAAACTTGGGTTCCAGATAGAGTCAGTCCAAGGAGAAAACAAGGAGGAGGAAGAAGAGAGAATAAAATTTGGAAACAGGTGTCAAAGAAATAAGAAATTAGACTATTGGCAAGATGATAGTCTAATAAAGTCAGGTTTTTTCTAGGACTTGAAATACCGAAAGTACCCTCAGTCCATGTCAGAAAGAACGGTTGTGATTGGGTTAGAAAGAAAGAACTTCAATTTGAAAAGTCTGATTTGGCTTTCTTCTTGTTTCCAGAGAGCAACTTCTTCTGATAGAATATGAGCAGTTACAGTCTTTGCGGATCAAAAGTATATAAGCCGGTACATTCCACTCGAGACAAGAACTGTCTAATCTGAAAAACAGAGAACCCACAAAAATGGAAAAAACAGAGGAAAGTGTCGGAATTATAGTTTACACGGCGACTCCGCCGCAAAAACCATCACCTTCACCCCCGTCTCGTTCGCCAAACCCCGTCTCAATCTCTTCGCTGCCAACACTTCCGGCAGGGGCCGCTGCCGGAGGAGGAAAAGGTCGAAAACGTCGCATGGTGGCGCAAGGAGTTCAGAAAACGGTTTCAAAGACATCAATGCTCGTCAATTTCCTCCCGACAGGAACCCTCTTGATGTTCGAAATGGTTCTTCCGTCGATTTACCGTGGCGGAGACTGTAACGGAGTTAACACACTCATGATCCATCTTCTCTTGCTTCTTTGCGCAATGTCTTGCTTCTTCTTCCATTTCACCGATAGTTTCAAAGCCGCCGATGGGAAAATCTACTACGGTTTCGTGACGCCTCGTGGACTTGCTGTGTTCATGAAACCGCCACCGTCGGATATCGGAGGAGGAGATGTGATCGCGGAAGCGGAGATTCCCGTGACGGCTGAGAGGTATAAGTTGAAGGTTAACGACTTTGTCCATGCAGTGATGAGCGTTTTGGTGTTTATGGCGATTGCGTTTTCGGATCGAAGAGTCACGGGATGTTTGTTCCCTGGGAAGGAGAAAGAGATTGATCAGGTTATGGAGAGTTTTCCATTAATGGTCGGAATTGTTTGCAGTGCTCTGTTTCTTGTTTTCCCGACCACTCGAGTTGGTGCTGGTTGCATGTCTGCCTGATTTTTCGTTATTTTATTTTCTCTTTTGTTTGGTATTTGAAGTACTTATGTTGTCATCTAGTAGTATTGTATTGTAAAATAAATTGCTGTGTTAGTCACATAATGTGATCAAGGATTCTGGAAACCTTTAACATATTGACATCAAATAGTTGTGTAAAAGTCTAATACAAAGTACATAATCGTGTTGAGCGTTTTCATTTGAAGAATCGAAATGTAAACACTAAATAAATTTTATTTGACTCAAGAATCCTCTATACGGGAGTATATGATAACCTCGACCTCGTCACATTCTTACTTCTTCACCTTGGTGTCATCCAAAACTCCAACGAGGCATTTCTCAAGTAAGATATCAAAATTGACCCAAGCATGGTATTTGTTGAACAAGAGCGTACCGTCTCTCCCAACGGCTTTCATCAGCATATCGACACCTCCGGGATGAAATTTCATGTAAGGAGATATGTTGTACACACGGCCTTTCAAAACAGTCCACATTGAATCTCCTGATTTGTGCTTCTTGACTTCATCCATCGATATAAGCCTCCTGTTCGACTCTCCCTTCAGGCCTGCAAAAACAATATTGTCCTTCTCATCATGTAACACATGAAAATGTTTTCAGGAAAAAAGAAGACCAGTAAAGAAAGCTTTACCTGCAAGATCGGGATGTGTTCGTGTAAGTTTCAGCCAATCCATTTGGCTATAACCCTTTTCAAATGGAACTTTGGTACGAGTTATGGGCTTTCTAGCTGAAGCTTTGAGAATCTCAGATGGTTCATTGGACAGCTTTGAAGATGAAGAATCAATCACCGTGAAAGACAAAGAACCTACTGTCTTTTCATTTGGAGAAACTTGATTCGGAGACTTGCTTTGAGCATCTAATCCATCTTTAAGGGCAATACCGTCTACATGTGATGCAAGATCTTTTGCCTCTTGAACAACTTCACTACCCGGTGGCACAACCTTTTAAACGGGACAGACAAGAATCAATCACCATAAAGACTAAAACTTTCATGTTCTAATAACCTCTGAAGATCTGAAGAAATGAGTGCAAACTCACCTTTGAGAATGTGAAGTCATCGTTTCTAGTAGTATCCATCTTGAGCTAAAACTGAGCTTTGAGCTATAATTTTCAGAACAGTTAGTATCAGTTAGAATTGAAACCCTAAAGTCTCTCTAAAGCACTCTAGAAAAGAAGAAGATCTAAACAGAGGACTCATCCAATTTCACATAACAAAGACTTCATAGACGAATGTTAGAGACAAAGCAGAGTCTGAAGATGCCGACTTTAGGGATTCTTGACCAAAATTTAAGAGAATGGAACAAATTGAAGCATAGAATGAAACAAATTTAAGAACAACTCCAAAAAGTGTGCAGATTGAACCAGAAGAGTTTGACTTCACAAACCATTCATGCAATTCCGATTCATGAATCCATACCACGCAATCAATAGAAGCCCATATTTTTTAAAAGGTGAGTAGTTGTAAAACTAGTCCAAAAGAGAATTGAATACCTGGTGGATCTGAGGCAGGAGATATCGCTGCGAGACTCTGAAACAGAGAATCGAAGGAGAAACAAAGAAGAGTGAAGAAAAAGAATGAGCGATGAGAGAGATCTATTGACAGAACGAGAATGAAGCGTATCAATAGAAGCCCTGTTCTTCCCTGAAGGCTGGACTCAAAATACCAAATTCGATTCGGTTCAATTTGGTTTTTCGGGTTTAGGGTGAATTTCGGGTTGAGAGGAGTAGAGCCGGACCCAAATTCATTTCATTTTGATTCGTCCTGGCCCGTTCCATTGCAAGCTTTAAATAAAACCTTATTTACTAGACCATCTCTTCTTCTTCTTTTTTCCGACAAAAGAAAGTCACAACAAATGGTAACATGATCTAATAAATAAATTCTTCATTCTTCTTTTTTTTTTTTAAGTATTCTTCTTCTTTCCAATTTTTGTTTCTCTTCATTTCAATCTCAAATCCTCTCACTCTTTCTTTCACCATTTAAATAGATAGTCATATTTCATTCTTGAATTTTTGGTGAAAACAAAATGGGATTCGGTACAGTCTTAGCTATCGAAGCAGTATTGCGACTCAAAAAAAGGATTTGTTGTCAAAAAATACTCCATTTTCATTAGAAAGTATCTTCCTCATCATATCATATTTTGTACTTATTTTATCAAAAAATTATTAAGTGATTAAATTCAGAAAATGTGCAAGAATTCAAAAATAAGTGATTTTGAAAGTATTTAAAGTTTTTTATTGAAATTTAAATGAAATCTATCAAAATCACAGCAAAATAGTAATAATGATTCTTTGCAATTTTTAAGTGAAATTGTATTAAATTCTTTGTAAACGATAATACTAAAAAAAACTACTATAAAATTGAATAACATTAGAATTCAAAATAATTTAATATAATAATTTCAAATACTTAATCCAATAACACATAAATTTAAAAGAATTTTTATATTGAAAACTTTTTTAAATTCTATTTTTATTCAATTATGTATTTTATTAATCCTTTTAAATTCATGTGTTTTTGGATTAAATATTTTTATGCATTCTACTAAATTGCTTTGAATGAAATATGAATTTCTTAAATCTATTAAATATTAGTGTTATTCAATTTGATAATAGTTTTCTAATATTATCATTTGGAATGAATTTAATAAAATATTACTTAAAATTGTAAAGAACCAACTCTTATTATTTTTGCTTTGATTTTAATAAATTAGTTTAAATTCCAACAAAATCTTGTAAATTACTTTAAAATTAATTATTTTAAAAAATTATACATTTTAAATTCAATCATTCAATGTCCATTAACTAATACGAAAAAGTATTTAAATATAAAAAGCATAAAATATTTAGTAAAATGACAAAACCCTTTTATTGTTTGCAAATACGAACCGTAGATAAATGTCTGCACAATAACAAAACCTATCATTATTCATTATATACACTTATGTAAGAAAAACAATTGTCTTAATCCTCTGATATATCTAAACTTTTAAAGGCAAAATTTGTTGTGTCAGAGTGGTTTTAATTATAGTATTCAAACAGTGTTAATCCAAATTTGATTCATTTGTTTGTGTTCTTTTATTATTTTAGTTATAGCTTTTAGAAAAAAAAAATTCAGATTTCAAATTGAAAAAAAAAATTAAATCCCAAACCAAAAAAATATGATCCTTAGAAAACAAAAAAGGAATTGAAACAAGTTCTTAAAGTTTATTAATACCTTTTAGGTTAGTTCTATTTTATAATTTTGTTCATATTTCCTTAAAATTTATTGATAATTAATATTTCTTAAGTTCAAGGCTTTTAGTTTAGATGGGCTTTAATGTATAATGTTTTTATCAAAAGCTTTAATATATTTACTTTTTTTTGCTCTAATTTTTCATTTGTTTTACTTATTTTTTACCCTATTTTCTCATTTATTTTGCTTTCTTTAAAACAAAACTTATCTCAACTTTATTTGAGTTGTAATTTTTTTTATGTATAATGATTGTCTTGGTATTTCCTTTGCCTATTTTTTTATTTTCAAAATATTATGTTCATTTACGTTTTATTTTTTCAATTATGGTTCATAGTTCTTTTTCACATGTTATACTTCTCACCGCCTTCCTTCTTAGCATTTTACAACTCCACCAATTTGTTAATTCTGCAGCATTGGTTAACAGCTTTCCTCAAGGCTTTTAATCATCCGATGGAGACGGTGGCCATTAGGAATATAAGAGTGAATGCAAATGAGCTGCTTGTAGATTTATTTGGGAAAACAAGGTTTCTCATAGATGGCAGTGACTCTTCTTTGGTTTTGCATTGAGCAACTAACTGAATGTATAAGCCTCCTACAGTATTTGGCACAAATTTCTTCATGTTTAGTTTTATCTCATAATTAAAACTGAATTAAGACTTTTTGGATATATAGTAGAATTTCTATAAAGTAATACTTGAATAATTAATAATTAAAATAAATTAATAAATTTTACCGGTTTCAAGTTAGAGTCAGTATAAATATTAGCAAATTATTTTAGCAAATTTTATAAGATAATAAGATAATATTTTTTTAAAAATTTTTATGTAAATTAATATTTATACATTTATGACACTGAGCCAATTACATATATTTTAAGCAAATTTTCAAAGATCAAAAACCAAATCACACTAGTGAAAACAAAAAACTGTTCATTACTAGTAACAACTTATTTTCCTTTTTTTTCTTACAAAATTATTTTTCATTCAATTGTTTAAAGTAATCTATACATTGCTGAGTACGAGGAACAAAATAATTTATTGTTGGTGTGAAAAATGAATCTAAAATTGAATTAGTTTGAAACTGGTACAGTTTCTGCTTTCACTTTTGAAGAGCTGAGAAGATGTACAAACAATTTCGTAGAGGCTAGTGGCATTGGGGGTGGAGGGCCTAGAGGTTATGAGCAGCTCATAGCAATCAAAAAAGCCCAACAAGAATCTTTGTAAGGAAAGATGGAATTCAAAACTGAGATCGGGCTTCTTTCAAGGGTTCATCACAAGAATGCTGTGAGTCTTCTGAGCTTCTGCTTTGATCAAAAGGAGCAGATACTTGTATACAAGTACATCACCATTGGCTCTCTTAGAGACAGTCTCTCAAGGTAATACAACAAATCAAACCCAACAAATTGCTTGTATACAAAGAATTCTGATAAATCTGAAACTAACAATATTATGTAGGGAAGAGTGATGTTAAGTTGGATTGGATGACACGGCTTAGAATAGCACTTGGTTTAGGCAAAGGTTTGCCATATCTTCATGACCTTACTGATCTTCCAAATCAAGTAATATCTTGATGATATTCTGACTGCAAAAGTTGCTCACTTCAGTCTAGCAAAAATTCTGGAAGACCTTCACAAAGGTCATGTCACAACAGTAATGAAAGGTCATATCAAATAGTATGTTTACATAAATAATGATCGTAATTTTCAGATTATTTTAGAATTTTACACTTTTTGAATTAGTTTGAAATTGGTACAGTTTCTGCCTTACAAGCACATAAAGGCAAACACATAACTAAAAAAAGTCACTAATCATTAATCAAATTAAATTATTTGAGTTATAATTAGTTATGGTAGATTTACAATTTTCAGTTATGTTCTTTGTAAAATAGCCAATTCAATTCAAAATTCAAAATCATGAAAGATATGATGAATTTAATTAAGTTTGAGTTAGTATTTTTTTTTGAATATTTTTTTGTTTACTTACACTTTTGTTTTGCTTAATTTGTGCTTATTTTCTACTCTTACAATAATCCACACGTGTTTCTTTCATGAGGAGGGGGGGAGGAGGAGGGGGGAATTTGGGTTATTGGTTTAATTTATATGGCAAATTTGTTTAATCATGTTTCATCCGACAAAATTTGTTACATTAACTTAGTTTTGACAACATGCCACAGATCTAACACCCTTAAATTTTTTTCTTTGAGACCCAACGGCTAAAAACATTCCAGACACAGCTTATAAAGGCCCTCTCTCACATTCAAATGCCGATCATCTAGACCCTAATTTAGCGAGAAGGTCTCCAAATATAGTATTGTTCTACAGCATCTCCTTTCTACCTGGCTCCGCCCCGGCATCCACACGTGTTTCTTTCCTCCGATCATCAAGATCCCACAAGACCTTTGAACCGAGCGTAAGTCAGTATAATCACAAACAAGACTGCGCAAAATGCTCCTGTGAGGCTAACCACCTGCATGCAACACGACAAAAACAAAAACCTATGAAATCAAAGTCTTTTTGCACGATTCTAAACGACTTCTTTCTGAAATGTGTTCTTTACCCATTTGAAAATGTATCCATGCTCGTCGTTCCATGTGTAGGGAATGTTCATGCCGAATATTCCGGCGATCATAGAGTACATTGATATGCAGACGGTTCCAGAGCTTAACATAAGCTCTAACTGCAAAGATTCTAGGGTATTTTAGACACATTTTATATATGAAATAAGACCTATCAATCTTGAGTTTTCTTCTTTACTCACTCACCTGAATCAGCTGGTTTCGGTGATTGTCTAGCTGCAAAACAAACAAAAAAACCCTCGATTAGTCAGTGAGAGAAACTATATTTTCACAACATAACTTTAGCAAAATAGGTTTTCATTTTGGTTACCTGGATGTTAATGTAATCCTCAGTGTCATCAATATACTCGCGTAACTGCATCATGTTCAATTATAATTTCTGAGTCAGAGATATCACAAAGATTCACAACTAAAAAAAAAGAAAAGGAAAAAATAAGGACAGAAGGGGACAAAATGATACAATACCGCGGTTAATTTGTTCAAAGTGCTGTCGATTTGCATGAAGTATGCCTGCAAAACAAAATCAAGTTACTGATTATTTAGATTTTCACACGTAGCTGAAAACAGATATAGTAGAGGTAGATATATATATATACAACATTCATGCAACAACCTCGAGCAACATTTCAAGTTCTTCAACATCATTTTCATCGTCCCCACGAACCGTGGCTAAACTCACTCTACTTGCTCGGGAAATCTTAGAACCTATTGTTGGGGACGTAGGATACCAAAGGGGTTCATCAGAAACACTAATCGATGATGATACACCAGCAAGCTTCCTTGAAAGATAGATATCAGCCATGTCATCGTCATCATCCAACAGTTGTTCGAGCTCATCCCTTACCTACAAAAAGTGATGAGGGGTTAGCTTTAATTCTTTATCTAATACACTGTCTTTGAAGCAGCACAAGACGAGTGTATGACTCAGTTTTAAGAGACAGTTAATTTTCATGAGGCTTAAGCATAATTCATATATAATAGGCTCTGTTTTCTTAGTGATAACTGCTCACCTTTTGGACCCTAGCTGTCAATCTGGTAATGGCACTCTTCAATTTACGAACCCTTTCCAAGTTAAGGCTACTTATCTACAAAATGTAATTAATGGTTTTCATCGTTCTGCTGTAGTTGGAAATGGATCAGTGTAGACAACCATAGCAGAGTTACTTTACCTTCAAGGTAAGTTCATCCAAAGCAGGATAAGCAGACTTCTCTAGTTCCGTTGTCCTTGCATCTAGGAAACTGCAAATAGCTTCCAAAACCACCTCTAGCGCCCGAAACTCAAACGGGGATTCTATAATAGTATCAAGCAAACGTTACATAAATACCAAAAGTGAACAAGAGTGAATGGTTCTTATGTAGTAGTCTTAATATATCACAGGCATATAATGAATAAAAGTTGAGGAATACCATCTTCATCACCCGCTTCAGCCTCTCCATGGCCATTGTGTGCCTCATTCCCATCAGGCAAACGTCTCTGAAGCTCCTCCAGGACGGGAATAACATTTTCATCAGGTGAAGCCCTAAGCAAAACCTGAGAAACCAAAACCATCCAAAGATGAAATCTTTTTCACGGCAAGGACAGCTAATTAATGCTAACCACATCAAAACCCTCAACTTATCAAACGAAGTAGCATCAAGCATTGAAAATTAAACAATTTTAGTGTTTGTGGCAAAATCCAAATATAGCTAGTGTAGCTACTAGCCCACAGAGAGAAAGAAACCAACTTTCTCTGTGTCAAGATATATAAGTCAGAGTCTAACCTCTTCGGCAGTGATAATCGCCTTGATATGCTGCACCGAACCAGAAAAAACAAACATAAGTAAGTAAAACGCAGAGGAGAGATTAAAGTCTGGACCAACCTCTAAGTTAAGAACAATGGCTCTCTCTCGACCGAGGATAGCAGAAGGGTAAAAAAGGTTTGGGTCGAGGATCCGGAGATCGCGAGCGTGGATCTGGACGCGGTGCATAATCGCGTATTTGTCTACGTCAAGCACCGTTTTCTGCCCCGTCGTGTCTATGGAAATCCAGCTCCGCGATGACTGAGGTGTCTTCCTCTTCACCGTGACAACCGCCGATGGATCCACCGGAAACAGTTCTCCGTCAGGCGACATCTCCGATTCTAATCTTCACTGTTTGCACCCCTCAACGCCTAATAAGTCAACGCCACAAATGAAAACCAGTAGCAAAAAGCACCCAATCGATTCGGTCCTTTTTGAGTACTGTTCATATGAAATCGACGGAGAAACGAAAAACCTAGATGGGTTAAGAAAAGTGGGTTTTCGTTGTATCTGCTCCTTTTCCATTATAAAATTCAACGAAAGTCGTTATTCTTCTGTCTAAAAAATCGGGTTATTCTTTTAATAAATCTGACGGGAAGATATTTCGCCTAGTTTTTCATGTAGAGAGCGTCGACGGCGATGAAAAGTGAAACAGGGCGGCCGCGTGAGTGAGAAGATGTAACGATTCAATTCGAACAAAATAAAATGGGAAGATGAAGAAGAGACTACGATTTAACCGCCCAAGACGCCAAACAAGCGTTCTCACACGAACAAACAAATCGCAAACAAATATATCCTCGAACTTTTATTCTTTTAATAACATTTATCGTATCAGACCCTAATGCTCAAGAGATGTTTCAAGCTTCCCACGTGGAGAAGATGTTCGCCTAACGCGATTCTCCTCTTCCCGGCTTCATCAACCACACTCAGATCCTTACACACATCGACCTTAAATCTAACCACCGCCTCTTCATTCTTCCCCAGACGAACCTTGTCGAACTCTAGCAGATGCTTAATCGGCGATCTGTGTACTGCCGGCGGCGTCGTGAATAGAAACACCGTGTGGCTCCCCTCTCTGTCTCCGGCGTTCCTTACAATTAGGTGGACTTCGAAATCCGATCCTCCCTCGACGGCGTTCTCGCAGTGTGGTCCCATCGCGTCCAGTGATTGGCACTCCGACGATCTGCAAGGGTGGCTCTTGTCAAGACGAAGAGAGACTGGTCGTGGGGCTTTGATTAGCCGATGGCTGAACTGAGTGTAGCTGATTCCGTCACCGAAGGCGTATACGGTTTCCCCGGCGTAAAACCGGTAGCTCCGACCCGGATACCCGGTTGATTCGTCGGGTCTCATGTTCATATTCGACATCGGAACTTTCTCCACATACGACTGAGGATACCACGTCATCGGCAACCTTCCGCCTACCGAAAATCCAATCAAATTCACCGGTTACGGAAATTACCAATCGTAAACACGAACCGGTCGGTTATTACCGGTTCAAGTTGGATAATTGAATCTTACTCGGATTATAACGGCCGAAGATGACGTCAGCAATGGCGAGACCACCGGCTTCACCAGGATATCCGACCCACATAATGCTTGTGATCTTCTCATCGTTCTTGGCGAAAGTAACGTCAAATCCTCCACCGGACATTATGACGAGGACCACCGGTCCTTTCGCCGCCTTAGCCACCTGAGTCACAAGATCTTGCTGTTTCCCGGGAAGATTCAGGTCGACTCGGTCAACGTCCTCCCACTCAATTGATATATCTATCCCCATCACGAGCACAACTGCATCCGCAGAAGCTGCAAGGGCCGTGGCTGATTCTAAATCCGCCTCTGCGCACGCCACGTTAGAACACCCTGGCTGATACGTCGACGGAACCGTTTCCGCCAGTCCCTGAAGCGGCGTTGTGTACTTGCACGGTTTACCTGAAAGATAAGATAAAAACGATCTCGGTTTTACACGTGTAAGCTTGAAAATTTAATCGACCGATAGTCACTTGTGTTTCAATTTGGGTTAATTTCGGTTTACCACTGTAGTCTCCGATCATCGTTTCGGTGACATTGGCGTTTGGTCCGATCACTGCTAACGTTTTGATCGCGGAGGATGAGAGCGGAAGCGAACCAGCAGAGTTCTTGAGCAAGACAATGCCTTGCCTTGCGGCTTCTCTAGCGAGTTCTTGGTTCTCAGCGGTGCAAACATCGTTGGGACCAAGACCACCGTAGGGCTGCTTCTTCGGGTCACCATCGAAGAATCCTAAACGCATCAGAGTCGCGAAATTGTTTGAAATCGCTTTGTCAATGTCTGCTTCGTTTATTAAACCGGCCTTGACCGCTTCCATCGCGTGCTGACCCGTGAAATGATAACAATTCAAATCCAAACCTGCCAACATCGATTTGGCCACAGCTTCCTCTGGAGTCTTGGTATAGTGTTGGTTCACATACATCACTTCTACTGAATCACAATCCGAAACAATGTACCTAACAAAAACAAAATAAAACCGAGAAATAAAATAAGAAAACCAATGATTTATAAAACCAAACCCTTCACAGAATAAAACAAGCTTACCCATTTAACTTCCATTGACCGCGGATCACACCAGAAAGCAGATCAGGATCAGCGCATGTCGGTTTACCGTTAACTTGGTTGTAAGAACACATGACACTAGCCACATTCCCATCAACTACACAGCTCTTGAACGGTGGTTGAAACGTATCATCCATATCTTGCTGGTTCACCTAATCCAACACATAATACGCAAAAACACAATCACAAAATGCATTTGTTGTGACCAAAAGACAAAAGCCACCTAAAGCTTAGAGAATTCAAAAAACTCTCTTATTTTCTTACCACGGCGTTGAAAGTAAAACGATGGACATCTTTCCAATTGTCAACGTCATAGGCGGTGTAGTGTTTGCAGCAAGCGGCGACTTTTAGACGGTCTGGATCTCCACCGTCAGTGTCCTGTAGACCTTTAACATAAGCCACCGCGTATTTGCTCGCGAGCGTCGGGTCCTCGCCGGGAGTCTCTTGTCCTCTTCCCCATCTCGGGTCCCGGAATATGTTCACATTCGGTGACCAAAACGTTAAACCAGCTGATCCCGTATTGTACATTGCCCTCGCCTCCGTCGACACAACCTTAAACCAAATCATGGATACAAAGTTAAAAAATAAGATTGTCACAAAACAAGAAATATTTCATTTACATAACGAGTGAGTTTTCACATTAAGGGAAAAAGAAAAAAGATATTATTTTTTTCCACCTTGCCAATAGCTTGGAATAGAGACACATTGAAGGAAGCAGCGGTGAGTATGACTTGAGGGAAGCTAGTGGCGCCAGGGACTTGACCGGAGAAACTACTACCACCTCCGACGTCAGAGACGCCGTGAAGTGCCTCCGACCACCAATTATATTCCGGAATCCCAAGCCGGCTCACGCCGGTAGCTCGACTCACCGAAAACCCGATTTTCTCCTCCAACGTCAATCTTCCGACAAGATCGGTGACTCGGGCTTCGGCCTTCAACCCCGTGTTGCAGAACCCAAACCCGGCGAGAGAAGGGTTTCCGGTTAAGTCACATGCGAACACCGGCGGGTTTTGGGCATACGATGGCTTGGAGATGCAGAGGAGGAAGCCTAGGAGAAGTGTGGAAACAGAGGAGAGTGCTCTGTTTCGCTTCGTTTGCCGAGAATAATAACCCATTGTGTTTTTCGTCTCGTGTTTTTGTGTGTGTGTGTGTAATTTGTTTAATTGTTGACACTATTATATACACTAATAAAATGGGAGAGAGCGGCCATTTCCTACTTCAATAGTAGGCTGCAATTCATAGTTGCACTTGCACTTACAATTTGTGCAAAAACCTACCTATATTTCATATTTTTAAATATTTTATACTTAAACTCTAAAAAAGTAACTAAAATGTATGTTTGGAGATTTGAAAGTGGAGAATTGGTTGGAGATTGTAATTTTAGGATTATTAAAAATAATAAAGTTGTATCTATATAGAAACTGAAAAATCGCAGCCTTGCAAATTAGACTGAAGATCACTATGAATTTTCTGCCAAAAATGATATTCCCTAGTCCCTACTGATTACTTTAAAAAAGCTGATGGTATTTATGAAATCAAGAAGATTCGTTAGTCGACAACGAAACTTGATACAAGTCAAGGTGTATCATAAATCCGAATCTCCTAAATTCGGATAAAAGTTACTGTATGGCCGTGAGGTATGCACATTACATTACGTTGTTTGTAAAGATCATTTCTTTTTCGCCAACTTGTCATATTAGATTAGAGATTAACACGTTAAAAAAATATATATTTAGATGCTTTTCACATAATGATTACTACTTTCTAACCTCATAATCGTTAAAGTTTTAAATAATTTATATACCCTATATATTGTGTTTTAAATACTTTTTGGAGTCCCGCGGGGATTAAAACTAAAAACTTTTTGGTCTTAGCTTTTTTAAAATCTAAAATCTAAATATATAAAATAAACCTATTTACAACGAGTCAACAACATATTTGATTGTAGTTTGTAAAAAGAAAATGTATATCTAACATGCTAGTTTATGCTACTATGAGATCTCTCTAAATTTCCAACAATTTTTCATTCGAAGAAACAATGAAAAGTTGCTAGCGTGTAAAATAATTTGATCTCATTCTAATTAACATATACTTAAAATTTATATGTACAAAGAAATATGTTTTTAGTCATCATCAGACATTCCAAGCAACTTTGTTCACTGCAGCATACTGCTGTATCGGGATTGGTCGGCGGCAAATCTACTTTTGACTTCAAAAATGTACTTTATAATATAAAGATAAATTATCAAAAAGAATTGAGAAATTTTAATTAGTTGTTATGTCTTTTTCTCGAATAATTGTGAATCACCTCAGTAGAATCCACGAGTTTGGTGATCCGTAAAGCGAGAAAGATAGATTTTGCTGCTACGAAACAATATGGGTTTTAATGCTAAGACAGTAAACTACGTTTCATAGATGAGTTGTTCATGGTAGGATTGTGTTTCGTAGTACAAAAACGTTATTTCCGAAGAAAAACAAATAGCTTACGGTATTTTATTTGGATTTATTCACGTTAAGAGAGAGATTTTCTGTCAGAGACTGATTACACTTTATATAAAAATTCTGTTTTCATTCTAAATTCTGACTCTGTAACTCGAGTTTTTTTTAACAAAAAACAAAACCCATGTTTTTTTTTCCATTATTGTCTACAATCTGCATGGTGACAAATATCTTACAGCTAGTTGTTCCGTCATTGTTTTCAATTTATTTGATGATCATAATACAACACGCTAACAAACTCAGTAAAATATTAATCAGGTCGTCTAATACTCTTTTTTTTCTTTGTCAGAAATCAGAATATGTTGTGTAACGAATCACACATAATGAACACGACCCATAATTATATTCGGAACTTCAAGGGTTTCTAAGAATTAAATATCCACAATGTACAATGTTTCAGGTATTCTGGTGGTTTAATCTCTATATTTTTTATTTTTAGGTATGTTGATCTTGTAATCTATTGACCAACAGCTGGACTAAAACTCTATGTTTATGTAAAAAAATATTAAATATCGATAACGATTGGTCATCAAATGATTGTATGGTCACTTTTTCTCATATACACCCAAATGATTGTACGGTCATTTTTCTCTAATTCGTATAAGAAAACTCAATTTATATAGGTTATAGCTTATAGGTTACCAACAAAAAAAGAAGAATTTATTTGGGTATGTTCTGAATAAAGAAGAGAAGAATCTATACATAAATGTTAACAATGGAATGGACCACATTGGCACCAATAAACCTAAAACCAAAAGTGTAGCCTCGTTGGAGATGGAGATGTGGACTGGAGAATATAGACATGATTGAGTTGGCTTTTAACGTGGAATATCAAACATTATATCTGAAATAATGTAAAAACTAGAAATATAGAAATCAAAAACAAATTGTGAAAGAAAACCGATTTCTCAAAACAATTTAAAATACAGCTCTAGAAGATAACATATTGTACCAAAAGAAAGATGGAAACAATGAAGTTGCTTCAAATTCGACATTTTGAGAATTGTTGATAAGCCCACTTCAAGTTGAACTAAACATTTACAAGTAAACTACACAGACAGTATAGGAGAAGAAGAGTGTGCTTAGCTTTTAGACAAGGGAGATAGTTACACACTCAATGACTCAAATCAATTCCAATGGCACAAGAATACTTTTTTTTATCTTCTAAGTCTGGTGCTTGTTTTGAGATCAACTCTGGTCCTTGTAAGGTGTCCAGATCAGTTTGCTAACATCAACATCCAGACCACCTCGGCCTGCAGCTTTCAGATGTCGGTCCAGAACCTTTGGATCCGCACAGATCACGTGTTGTCCTTTCCTGTACTGTATCAGTTCTAGGCTCTGAAGCGTGCTTAATATGTCTTCCGCTTTGATTGCTGTCATGTCGCTCAGCTCCTACATCATCATAGTTGAAACAGAGACACGTGAGTGGATTCTTAGATCGCAGAAAGCAGGACTTGCCTAAGATTTTCCATCATTTAAAAACACAACCTAACCTTGATAGAAATGTTTGCTTTATGTTTTTTCAAGATGTCTAATAGAACACGAGTCCAATAACCTCTGTAGCTTAGCAAGCCTAGATCCGACAGGGGTCTTTCCGGTGTCCCAACTTTTCCCTCTTTCTTTGACAGTTCATACGCTGCAACTCACAAGGACACTCTGTTAGTATTTTTTATCGACATGGGACTGAGAAGGGCGGCGATAGAGTCAAGTGACGAGAACTCACAAAAAGCTATTAAGAATTTTCCGTAGCCTTTTCTTTGATATGGAGGAAGTGTTAGAATGCAAGCTAAGTTGTATGCTTCTTCCGAATGCTTCTCCTGTACCCAACAGAAGTTAAGGTTTATTAACAAATCGGAGAGCTGAAACCAAACATATCTATAAATGCTGCGCTGTGTTACCTTTGAAAAGTATCCAACCATGTGGCATCCTCGGTCATCACATTCGCAAAGAACGTAGAACAGAAACAAATCAACGTCGTAGTAAAGAGTTTTGTGGTCGAGAAATAACTTTGCCAAGTAACAGAGATTCTGTGCATAGACCTTGTTCTTTTTGCCATCTACCTGGAATATCAGGGTACGGTTAGAGAAGCTATATTAGAAAATATAGAGCAAGCAATAGAAGCTGACAATATTATATCATTTACAGGGGAAGAAGACTGGACAGAAAATATAAAATGAAGATCTTGGAGTATTACCTCAAACATTGACAAGGTACCACTTCGGTAAATTTCATCACCAGGAGGGTGCTTCAGGTCACACTTCCTCTGCAGAGAAAACCAAGGGGATTATACAAACCTTATAGATGAAAACATAAGAATGCAACTTTAATGAACTGTGAATGTAGATATGCATTTCGATGACAATATTAACAGCATCTGAAAGACTTGATACTCTATATATCGAAGTTCGCAACAACAGTGAAACAGGAAAGCATCATATAAAAGTCAAAGATATGGAAAAACAGATGCTCACCATATGCCTTTGAAGCTGCTCTTTGCGTTTCATGAAGTTGAGGCAAAACTCACAAAAGAAGAGCTTCACACAGTCATTGTATTCTGGCGGAAAAGGGGAAAAGTACCAAGTCTCAATCTCATATTTGCCAAGCTCAATCGTCGCAATGTTCTTCACCTTCGTGAATTCCTCATGTTCACGCAAACTTGCTGCATCCAGCTCTTCATGACCCTATACAAAAAAAAAAAAAAAAAAAATTTGAAACACAGAATACTGAATCAGCATAAGCCTTATGTTTCCAGGACCCGCCTTGAAGTGGCACTCATATAACTTACCTCTACATGTGTCTCATCGATCTTCCGCTTCTGGTGGCGTGTCATCTTCAAGCTCGTCACCTAGAAACCTCAGACAGAAGTCTCCGCTCAGTGCTAAACGTGGAAGAGAAACACTCATGTAATGCAACGAAGCATTATGCAACTAATAACACAAAACTAAAGAAAGCACCTTGTCTTCCACTTTTTCATCTACAGCACACTCTACAGAATCAAGGTCCAGTTGATCCAGCTGAGTCCATTCATCTAGCCTCCTATTAACTGCAGTTTCAGAAAAAATTATGATAATCAAACACCAAACATTATCATCATTTTACTCAGCTTGATCAAATAATAGTTAGAACGGGTTCAAAAAATCTTAAGAAGCAAAATCCGATGCAGGATTTGAGCTCTTTCTCAAAATCTCACCCAAATTGAAGCCAATTCTAATGGTCTAAGTGATAAAGGCTTTCAATTTTTGCACATCGTGATCCTAACACGTAACGCTCGATCAAAAATTGGTAAAACGACATACACTCTGTGTAATGAACGTAATACTCGTAATCATTTGGGCCGCCTTTATGAATCCTCCGGCGCTCGATTACTTTTACCGGATGGTGTTTTCCGTCTCTCCATCGACACATCACACGAGTACCCACTTCGAGCGGAAGCATCCCCATTTTCCTCTTCTTCGACTGATCCGACTCTGAGATAGCCTGATCAGGAGCAGAAGGAGGAGGATGAGGCTGATTCAGAGGTGCCTCACCGCCATTCGTAGCTGGAGGCTTGTGATTCGACGACGGTGGCGAGGCTGTGCCGTTGGTTTCTGTATTCGCAGACGATCCCATTCTTCGGCCGGGTCGGAGATTCCCGGGTGGGTTTCTGTTGCACACGACCGAATAGCTAGAGAGC